GAGTCTGACAGTTTGCCCTGACCTGGATGGCCCACATGAGCTTGGTTTTGTCAGATCTTGGAAGCTGAGCAGGGTCAGCCCCGGTTAATATTTGGATGGGAGACCTCCAAAGCAATCCAGGGTTGCTATGCAGAGGCTGGCAGTGGCAAACCACCTCTGTTCATCTCTTGCCTTAGAAATCCTATGGGGTCACCATAAGTTGGGTGCAACTTGACGGTAGTGAATGGTCATGATACTTATCTTGTATGCTTGCACTGTTAAGATAGAAAACTTTTTTGGCACTTCCTCCCCCTACCCTTTTGGAGCTGCGGTGGCTCAAGTGGTTAAGACGCAGAACTGCAGGCTGTGGAAGGTCAGTAGTTCAGCAGTTTGAGACCCGGATGCCGCAAGATGGAGTGAGCTCCCAACTCTAGTTCCAGCTCCTGCCAACCTAGCAGTTTGAAAGCAAGAAATTGCAAGTAGATAAATAGGTACCACTTTGGTGGGAAGGTAACAGCATTCCGTGTGCCTTGGTGTTTAGTCATGCCAGCCACATGACCACGGAAACGTCTTCGGACAGCGCTGTTTCTTCGGCTTTGAAACGGAGATGAGCACCGCAACCCTAGAGTTGGATTCGACTGGCTTTCCAGCAAGGGAACCTTTACCTTTACCTTTTTACCCCCTACCCTTTGGAATGGATTCCCAGGAGAAACAAGGGGGGGCTTTCTCTTTGAGGGAATTTCACAAGGGTGGCAAACCTTCACAGAGGTTCAAGAAGTTCTTTGGGTCCTCTTATACTGGAGAAGATCTAAGGATTTACAGGCTGTCAAGATGCCTTGGGCATTGTTCAGTTGAGAGGGTATTTTTGCTGCTGCTCTGCTAAGAATATGTTATTGTTACTTTCTTGGCTCCCCCCCCCCCCCCCGCGTTTTTTTTACCTGCTTTGGTCCCAGTTTTGGGAGTATAAACATTTTGAATTAATCAATACAGAGAGTTTCTTCTTCATTTTATGCCCTTTTAACCCCACTGTGTTTTCTCATCTGTACCTTGTGCATGTCTATAAAATGTGTGTGTGTGTGTGTTTGGATAAATCAATTTTAAAAGCGGTTAACTGTTGCTGCAATCGGTAGATTCGGGATTTTGGAAGGACGTGCATAACTAAAATAAAATGGGAGTCAGCAGCACCTCTAAGACCAGCAGAATTTATTCCAGGATAATTTTGTTGTGAGTCAGAGACAAAACAGAGAGGGTTAAGTCTTACTTAAACGTTTCATCCTCTGCCTCCTTTGTAACAGCTGGTTTTTCAGTGCCCTGGGATCCAAGGTGGTGGGTTTTTGGAAGCTGTCATGATGGCATTCACTGAAAACATCAGCAAGAGAGGAACAGGCAGATTTGATTAATGATGATGGCTCCTTCTCCAAATGAGGGCCATGTGGAATTAAGTCTGTAAGCTCTGCCATAGTAGACGAAGGATCAGTGGTTTGATTCATTACAAGACATGCTTCACCACAGGTCATTTGAGCTTCGTTGTCGTGATCTGCTGACTCTTCGTTTCTGTATCTTGCATATAAGTCTGGTTTGCGGTTTTCCAGACATTTGGGATGCTTGCGGTTCAGTATTACAGTACTGGACTTGCGATTTGCTTGATCAAATAGGCCTTGTGCCTAGTAGTGCATTCAAAGGCAGCCATTTCCAGAAGAGACGAGTAACTGATACAAGTGATTGTGGGATCTAGGATTTCAGATGAGTCTGCTTAGTTTGCTTAGATTTGGCGGAAGGCAACAGAAGGAAGCTTATTAGTAGATTCTGTACGGTGCCGAGCTACTTACCAACAGTAGCGTGATTGGTAGGTTAGGGGATGCTGGATGGGAGGGTTGAAGGGATGTCAGCCATCAAAGAGAGGGGGCATTTCCTTGCGATCGTTGACCTTGCATTTGTGGATGATTCTCTCGAACAGACCGATGCTTGGCAAATGTTGCACTCAGTGGTGATATCTTGGGGGTGCCGCTGGAGTCTAATTTCATTCTCACATCGCTTTGTTAACTTTTGTGTTTACAAGCTAATTTGCTGCCGTCCACTGATCCTACTGGCCACCCATTCCAATGCCAGCTCTGCAGATGCCACCCATTCCAATGTCAGCTCTGCAGATGCATCGGGGCACTGTGTGGCCTCTCCTAACAGCTTACCCCCACCCTCTTTTCCCCCTGTAATGCTCCCTCTACGCTGTGGAGTCTTGTGAGCAAGAATTCTACTTTGTGCGCTCCTGGCATTAAAGCTGTGAGCAAGCTATTTGGCTGCTGCATAAATTAGCTTGCTCTGGAGCCCTCCTTCCTGAGTGAGGACAAAAATGCGTGAGCCGGAGGCTAAAAAACTGTGAGCTAGCTCACACTCACTCAGCTTAGAGGGAACACTGCCCGTAACTAGCTTTTGAGATTTTATTCCAATTTTGTCTGAAGAAGTGTGTTTTGCCCATGAAAGCTTACACTTTGAATAAAACTTTGCTGGTCTCAAAGGTGCCACTGGACTCAGACTTAGTTCTGCATCTTTGATGTCGGTGCTCTCAAAGTCTGTTGATTCCTTCAAAGCAAGCTGCTGTTCTCAAACTGTGGCTTGGGACCCCCAGATTGGTCACGACTCTCTCACACTGGGAGTCCTCAGACCAGGCAGGAGGAGGAGGAGGAGGAGGAATGGAAGTTCTTGGTAGCTCGACAGCAAATTTGTTTGAAATTGCCATAAAATACAGCCTGGTGCTCGATTGTTCTGTTCGTAAGATACGAGACCTGCCTGGTCCTGGCCCCACTGGTGGACCTCCTGATGGCACTGGTATTTCTGGCTGCTGTGTGACACAGAGTGTTGGACGGGATGGGCCTTTGGCCTGATCCAACATTGGCGTCTCTTATGTTCTTATGAGACCTGAAAAATAAAACACACGTTTATTCGTTGTTGGCTTGTGTGATAGTCTTGCAATTTATGCTGGGTGTGGGAGAGGAGTGTGGAATTAACTCTGGGTCCCAAGAAGTACAGTGAATCCTATTATGATAGAGAGACGGGGGGATCCCTTAATTGGTACTCAGGAAGGCCCTGATCTCAGAGAAAACATTCTTTCTCTGGGAAGGGAATTATAAACCTTTCAGATGGCTGGCTGAGAGATGAGTTTCCTTTATGGAAGCAAATAGGCAGGATGAGGAATGACTATTTGCCCACCCGTCGGGAAGGAGCAAGAATGAGTGGGGCAATAAAATGTTTAGGAAATGCAACCTAGTTGGATTGGAGGAAAGGTACACGCTCAGTTTCATGGTAGTTTAAAATTTAACCCTTCCAGCTGGGACAGGAAGGGTTAAAAGACCTGGACACCCTGTCAGAAGCGCACAACTGAAGGTCTAGGGATCAAAGGAAGCAAATGGAGTACGGTCTGTTTCTGGTTCATGAGAGGGAGGGCAGGAAGGGCTGCATCAGGGCTTAGTTCTTGCGGCCCTTTCTTACACACCCAGGGAAATGCTGATTGCCACTTTGGAATCAGGAAGCAATTTTTCTCTGGGCCAGTTTGGCCGGGGATCCTGGAGGTTTTTTTGGTCATCTTCTGGGCATGGAACAGGGGTCACTGGGTGTGTGTGGGGGGGAGGGATCTGTGAATTTCCTGCATTGTGCAGGGGGTTGGACTAGATGACCCTGGGGGTACCTTCCAACTCTTCGGTTCTATGTTTCTATTTTCAAAGTTCCTGTGGATTTGCATCCATTCCAAGGAAGGGAATGCCCAGGTAACACCAGTGATGCAACTGCATAACCTAGTTAACTACATATTTTATTATCTTTTCTTAGTCTGTAATACCCTGTAGCGTTTTGATATTGCTTTCCAATTCTTCGCGCTGTGGGGAAACGAGAGTGTTTATTAGTGAGTAAAGATCTTTTCCTTTTTAAAGGTTTCAGACTGTGATGAGAAATTTCACCTATGAACCTGATTGCTCATAACCTGCAGAGAACAGAAACACTTGACTGGGCTACAGTTGGCCAGGTGGTGGAGTATGTGAGATAGCCGCAGATAGAAAAAGGAAGGGCACAGCTTGAGTAGAATCACAGAATCACAGAGTTGGAAAGGGCCAGACAGGCCACCTAGTAAGTCCAGCCCCTTGCTCAATGCAGGATCAGCCTAGAGCATCCCTGACAAGCGTTTCTCCAGCCGCTGCTTAAAGACTGCCAGTGAGGGAGAGCTCATCACCTCCCTAGGCAGCTGATTCCACCGTTGCACAACTCTGACAAAACGTTTTCCCTAAGATCCAGCTGGTACCTTCCCGCCCTTAATTTAAACCCATGATTGTGAGTCCAATCCTCTGCTGCCAACAGGAACAGCTCCCTGCCCTCCTCTAAGTGACAGCCCTCCAAATACTTCAAGAGGACAATCATGTCCCCCCTCAACCTCCTCTTCTCCAGACTTGGTCTCCAGAAGAAGAAGAAGAGAAGAGATTGGATTTATACCCCGCCCTTCACTTGGAGTCTCAGAGCGGCTTACAAACTCCTTTCCCCTCCCCTCCCCACAACAGACACCCTGTGAGGTGGGTGGGGCTGAGAGAGCTCTGACACAAACTGCTCTTTTTCAAGGACAGCTGTGCCAGAGCTTGTGACTGACCCAAGGTCACATCAGCAGGTGCAAGTGGAGGAGTGGGGAATCAAACCCGGTTCTCCCAGATTAGAGTCTGCGCACTTAACCACTACACCAAACTGGCTCTCCAGGCCCCCGATCATCCTCATCGCACTCGTCTTCACCCACCATATTCTGTCCACATCCCTTTTTGGAGTGAGGCCTCCAGAACCGCACACAATACTCCAGGTGTGGCCTGACCAATGCAGTGTACGGCATGTAGCAACATTCAGCAAAATGGGGCAGATTCCCCTCTGTCCCTTGAGCAAGAACAGCGAGAATGGAGGGGAGGAGGGGAACAACTCCTTTTCTGGCCCCAGCTCAGAATGCTTTCGAAAACTGCTGTTGCAAATAAACTAATGTCATTCCTGCAAATTGTTTTCAGCTGAAGCTTTGGGTCTGGATCACATGGTTCCCGTCCCTTATCGGAAAATCGCTTGCGACCCGGAGGCTGTGGAAATCATCGGGATCCCAGACAAAATCCCATTCAAGCGACCTTGCACGTATGGCGTCCCAAAACTCAAGCGGATCTTGGAGGAAAGGCATCGCATCCACTTTGTGATCAAAAGGTACTTGTCTAATTTGGCTTGAAGGAGTCGCCAACAGCGGTTTTGAACCCGAGCAAATGCGCCTCTCCCTACTGGGCCTCTTCGGAGCCATAAGTCTGAGAACATTTTGGATTCTTCCTGGTAACAGTGCCTCCACCTTTTGCGCAGAAGAATCCAAGGGCTCCAATCAGAGGTCATTTCAGGGGGGATCGCGGGGGATAGCAGTTCCCCCGGGTGAGGTATGGGGGGCGGGGCACATGACAAAGCCCCGCCCCCTGCTTCCGCCCCCCCACTTCCGGCCCTCATTCAGCCAGGAGGAGGCAGGAGAAGAGGGAGGGTAAGTTTCTTCCTCCCTGCCTCTCCCCACCCCTGCCTGCCTGGGGCCAGGGAGGGCCTTCGGGGGCTTCCTTGCACTCCCACCAGCCTTGCAGGTCCACCGCCGGGCCCCTCATGGGGCTCGGCAGTGGAGCTGCAAGGCCGGCAGCGGCGGCCGGGACCATTGGGGGCGGGGTGTGTGGCCTTATGACACATTTCCGGTGATGTCAGGGGTGTGGCCTTATGACACACTCCCGGTGATGTCAGGGGGTGTGGCATATGCTAATGAGTTATGCTAATGAGTTCCCCTAGCTCTTTTTCTACGAAACGACTTTTGACTCCAATGCATGGAACAGTGGGGTTGGGATCCGATGTACCACTATAGCAGGGACAACTTTAGATTTCTCGTCCCTGCTGTTTCAACCTTGAAAATCACTTTTAAAAATAGTTGTTTAAATTGCTTTAAATTGATACCTCGACACAGAGAGTACTCCATCTTTCTGTGTTGTACCTCTGAGGGTGCCAGTCACAGCTACCGGCGAAATGTCAGGTCCTACAGTGCCAAGACCACGGCCGTACAACCCGGAAAATCTACAACAGCTAAATTAGTTGTTTATTTGTTGAAGTATTTCTATTCTGCTTTTGTCTGAAAAGGACCTTAAGTGGCTTACAACAGGAAAAAGCAATACCTAAATTAACCGGCGTACAGCTAGGGTTAGTCTCCAGGTAGGGCGGAACCCAGATTTCTCTTGGAATTACAACTGATCTCCAGGCTACAAAGATCAGTTCCCCCGGAGGAAATAATGTAAGAGAAACTGGGGATGAAAAACCTAAGAACGTATGAACATTCAAGAACTATAAGTTATAAGCAATTGTAATCAATTTTATACTAAAGCATAAGTACTCAAAATGTACAAAATACAATATTTGGGCATAATAGCCAGAAGCAGGGCTTTTTTTGTAGAAAAAGCCCAGCAGGAACTCATTAGCATAATAGGCCACACCCAGCAGCAGAAACTCATTAGCATATTTGGCCACACCCCTGATAGCACAGCTCATTGGCATATTAGGCTACACACCCCCATGTTACCAGAAGTGTGGTCATCCAGCCACACCCACCTTTTGCTTCTTATTCTGTTTACTTTGTTGTCAAAACCCTGGGCTTTTTTTGTAGCAGGAACTTATTTGCATGTTAGGCTACACACCCCTAATGTAGCCAATCCTAATGAGTTTCTGCTGCTAGGTGTGGCCTATTATGCTAATGAGTTCTTGTTGGGCGTGGCCAACTCAGGAGCCAGCCGGAACTCTGTTCCTGTGCGTTCCTGCCCAAAAATAGCCCTGGCCAGAAGTATACAAAATCAGAACATACAATGTAGCAGTAATATCAAAGCATTTACAATTTAACAGTTATATAGAAACAGTTAGCAGCAATATTAGAACATATAAAATGTAGCAACTATATAGGACTTCCTTAGCTTTGAGCTTAGCATTATGCAGACAGGTCCAATATGAGAGATTTCCCATAGAATCTAAGGGCTAGCCCTACTACTGTCTATAGCAACCTGAGAGGAGAAGGTGCTTCTATGAACTAGGAAGGTGATATTAGAAACCAAGAGATATCAAGACACGGTTGATTTGCTTCTGATGAAGTTTCACCACGAAACTTAGTGAAAGCCGGCTGCTTTGTAAACTGTTTCTATATAATTGTTACATTTTATATGTTCTAACAAGGGGTGGACCCGCGATACTCGCGGGGTGGGGGGGTGGGGAGGGAGGCAGAGCTCCAAACTGAGCTCCAAAGTCAGAAGGCGGAGGAGGAAGCAGCAGGAGGAGGTAAGTCCCCCCCACATCCTGCCGGTTCCTCCCCCATATTCTCCACCACCCCCCGCTCGATCTCCCCCCTCTGGCCTTCCCTCCCCCGGCTCCGAAGCGAGGGCCAAGTGGCGAGCCGCTCGGTCCTCGCTGCTCTCTCTCCTTCCCCCCCGGCTCCAAAGTGAGGGCCGAGCGGTGAGCTGCTCGGCCCTCGCTGCTCTTCCCCCCCTCCCGGCTTGCTGCTCGCCTCGCTGCTCTCTTCCCCCCAAAGCGGTGGCGGCAGCGGCGAGGGAGGTCGCAGAGCGTTCCCTGCGCATGCGCACGGGAGGCTCTATCAGTTTCGGGGGGATTTAAACATCCCCCCGATATTTTTTACAGGGTTTCTGATTTTTGTGCACACCTGGGGACTGCCCCACGTGTGCACAAAACTCCCTCCCCCCCAGGTGCCCCCAGTGCGCGGATTTAGGTATCCGCACACCAGGGGGCGACTTCAGAATTAGATATATAGATTAGTATGAATACACCAGTCCTTCCACTACATGGCCACTGGCCTAAACACTCCATCTGCCTGGCTGGAGAGTGGAGAGTCACATGATATTCTAACTCGTACATGCTGCCCCTAGTGGAAGATCTTGAGAATGCAATGTAACAACAATGTAAAAGCTAAAACTATTCTATGGCCCCAGTCACACGGCAAAGTTGCCGCGGGAGAGGCACGAGAGTCCCGCGGATTTTCCGGGCGCGATCTCACCTAAACATCTGGGGAGCGCAGTGCTCCCATGGCGAACCCGTGGCGCCCTGCCGAAACCGCAGGGCAAGGGTGGGTGTCTGACTGTGTTTCCAGTGGACTTCCATGGCATCCGGCGCTCGCCCATGTCCCGTCGCAAAGAAGGGTTGTTTTTTTCAAGTCTCCACAGGATGCGCACAAGCACCCAACGGAGCATGTGCACAAACAGGAAGCAGTGTTTGCCACAGGAGCCGCACGGCATGAGTGCCAGTTTGAACACGCCGTGCTGCTTCTTTGCTGCGCTGCGGACTAGCCATCTGATCTGCACCTGACGCCTACCCACGGGACCTCCAAAGGACTTTTGATCAGGCTGCCGCGCTTTATTTTCCTCTGGGGCAATTAGCCACGCCTCCCCCCCCCGCGCATTTTCTGGCCCGTGTGACCGGGGCCTATGTAGGCCAACAACATAAAATATAAATGCTAGTCTTCATATGCAAACTTTTTATGGGACTCCAGGAAACTCTCGGGCTCCCTTTGGGCCTCCTCTGGTCCCAAGGGCCCTGGAGCAATGCACCTGCTGCTGCCCCCCCAACATAGTGTCTGGATCCAGGAGTTGCACCGCGGTAATGATGACCATAGACTCACCTGTGCCCACCTCCTGTGCTGCCCCTAGCAGGGTCTGAGCTGAGTGGCTCTAATAAAGGGGTTGCATCATGTAGTGATAGCCAAAACAATATCTGAATTTAGGTTTATAGAAGAGTGGTTCATCAGTTGTGACTAACTAAAAGGGAACCTGAATACTAGTGCTAGAAGGCAGCACCAGGGAAAGGCCTTTGTTTCTATGCCGTTTTTGTTGGCTTTTCAGGTCAGCTGTCCGACCACTGTGTGAAACAGGATGCTGAAGCAGATTAACCACTGGTCTGATTCAGCATGGCTCTTCTTATGTTCTTATACACAATTTCCTTCCCACCCAACAGCCAACCTACCTTTATCTGTCTCTCTATCTGCAACTTTCCATCTCCACACCCCTCCCCCACAGCCTCTACCTAGAAAAATTACAGTCTTTCTCCACAGTGGGGTAGGCTTACCAAACGCCGGCGGGGGAAATCTATTTCCTGGCAGGATGCGTGCCGCGGGGGACGGCTGTGCGCGCTGCACCCGCCGTCGCCAGGATGTGACGCTCCGCGTTACCCTGGCAACGGGACCCAAACAGCCCCGTTGCCAGAGTAACGCGGAGCGTCACATCCTGGCGACGGCGGGTGCAGCGCGCACAGCCGTCCCCCGCGGCACGCATCCTGCCAGGAAATAGATTTCCCCCGCCGGCGTTTGGTAAGCCTATGCCCAAATATTGTATCTTGTACATCCTGAGTACTTATGCTTTAGTATAAAATTGATTACAATTGCTTATAACTTATAGTTCTTGAATGTTCATACCTCCTTGGGTTTTTCATCCCCAGTTTCTCTTATATTGCTTCCTTTATACTGGGAGGCCTGTGTTTCCTGTTTATCCCCTGGAGGAAAGGGCAGCTTTGGAGGGTGGACTCTGTGGCAGCTCATCCCCGCCGAGCTCCCTCTTCTCCCCAAGCTTCACCCGCAAGCACAAGTAGATTCCACAAAAGCATCTAAAGTGAAGCTCTTGCCGCATTGCTGTTGTGTTGTTGTTTTTCTTTACAGGGGTGGGAGGGAGCAGCAACTCCGGTGATGAAGGGCTGTTGGGGCTTGCCACTTGGGGACTTGCCACATTGGTCCTGGTTTGTGTTGGGATTCGCTGGTCTGGCATTGGTTGTGTTGTGTGCTGGCCCTGCTGGGATTCTCTGGTTTGATTATGGTTCTGTTGGGCTTGTTGGTGGTTTGCACTCAGAGGCCTCTGATTCCCCCCCCCCCCCATAGCACACAACAGAAACAAGGAGGGGGGCTGGGGGCACCTTGTTCAGGGGCCTACAGAATTTGACCCCATGGTTCAATCTGCTGTAAACTGGTGTGTGTGTGTGTTTAGTGGACAGGCGACATTAGGTTTCCTGCAATTTTGGTATCAACTGCTTCAAAAGTAGCCACTTCACCTCCCAAGCAGTGTTCCCTCTAAGCTGAGTTAGTGTGAGCTAGCTCACAGTTTTTTAGCCTTCGGCTCACACATTTTTGTCTTAGCTCAGGAAGGATGGCTCCAGAGCAAACTAATTTATGCAGTATCTGAATTGCCCGCTCACAACTTCAATGCCAGTAGCTCACAAAGTAGGATTTTTGCTCACAAGACTCCACAGCTTAGAGGGAACATTGCTCCCAAGTCCCCCTTTTTCCTACCTGAAATTGCCCCATGCTTGATAACGGTTGTGTGGCGACCTGTGTTTCAAGATTGGGGTCGTCCACTGTCACATCTAATTCCACTTTGGTTTCCTTATGCAAAAGGCCAGATACAAACATAACACATAAATGAGTTATCTGTTAAGACTCAAGGTGTGTGCTCATAATTTTGGGAGCCTAAGTCTTGTAGGGGGCATGCTCCAAGACTGCCAGGGGCAACCTCCTCACTCAGATTCAACTGTGCGTGGCATTAAATAATAGTAGCAACAGGTTCTCTGTCATTTATCTGGGAAAAGTGCAGAGGAGGGCAACCAAGATGCTTAGGGGGTTGGAGCACCTTTCCTATGAGGAAAAGCTGAAGAGTCTGGGACTTTTCAGTTTTGAAAAGAGATGACTAAGGGGGGGGACATGGTTGAGGTTTATACAATTATGCATGGGGTGGAGAGAGTTGAGAAACAGAACCTTTTCTCCCGCTCCCAAATACTAGAATTCCAGGGCATCCAGTGAAGCCGATGGGCAGTAGATTCAGGATGGACAAAAGGAAATACTGTTTTACACAGAGAGTGATTAAAATGTGGAATTTGCTGCCAGAGGAAATAGTGCTTTAAAATGGGATTACATAGATTCATGGAGGATAAGTCTATCCATGGCTACTAGCTGTGGTGACTGAGGGGAACCTCCATGTTCAGAGGCACCAAACCTCTGAATCCCAGAGCCAGGAGGCAACATCAGGGGAAGGCTTTGGCCTCTATCCCTTGTTGTTGGCCATCCAGAGGAACTGGTTGGCCCCTGTGTGAGACAGGATGGTGGACTAGATGGATCACTGGCCTGATCCAGCAGGGCTCTTATATTCTTATGTTCCTAGACTGCTTTAAGGTCTTCAAACTGCATTGCAGACCAAAGTCGCAGCTGATGTATTCTTTTCTCCTTCCTTCACAGGATGTTTGATGAAAGAATTTTCACAGGTAAGCATACACCGCTTCCTTAATTATCTTGTCTTGCTGGACAAATTGCTTTCTGGTTTGCCTAGATAAACGTTGTACAGAGGCGTGTGTTCTGTGGGCCGTGATTAAATCCTTTTGTTTAAAGTGTGTTTTGCATCTTATTTCATCCTGTCGCTTAGTCAGTGCCTTGGGTAACCGTACGTTTGGATCCACATGCCCCAGTCACACCCTCCCCTGGAAACTCAAGGTCACCTGCTTCTCCAGGCCAACCTGGATGGGCTGTTTTGAGATCTGTGAATGGATCTCCAAAGTGGCCCTTATTAGTACATATCAGCCATATGGACCACTGATTTACGAGGCTCTGTTGCTATTACGATCTTGGTTTTCCTGCACAGGTGGCCTATAAATACCATAACTGAATAAAGAACCTTTTCCGATGACAGCAGGGGTGGCCAAACTTGCTTAATGTAAGAGCCACATAGAATAAACATCAGACGTTTGAGAGCCGCAAGACATGAACAGATATTACATGTTTTTTTGGGGGGGATATGCAGATTTGCTTTTTATTAACATTTAAATGAGTCTGCCAAAAATAATAACAAAAGGGGTGAAGGCAGATAGAGATGATGATATTTATTTGTCCAATGATATTTGTTTGCTAATGATATTTAGCTTCCCCAGCCGCCCTGCTGGGAGCCGCACAATTATGTGTGGAAGAGGCGCATGCGGCTTCCGAGCCACAGTTTGGCCACTCCTGCACCACACCGTTCCTTTTTGTTTTCAGTTTTGTGCAGAAACTCTTCCTACCCGTCGAAATTTATTCAGCACCAAATCAATGCGATTTAAATTGTGGTTCTCAAGCTCGGGGCCCATTCCAAGTTGGGGGGGGGGGTCCGGGCAGAGACTCTGAGATCCACCCCACCTGCAGTCACAGCCACCCACCACTCCGTGCAATTGCATAGCCTTTCCCCAGCAGGGGTGGATTGACCATTAAGCAGACTAAGCACGTGCTTAGGGCACCAGGGCCAAAGGGGGCACCACAAAGTTGGGGAAAGGGTGAAAAGAAGAAAAAAAAACGAATGAAGATTTGTAAAAAAAATATATGGATAAAACTAGTGCACATTGATTATGGTGCACCCTACGGTTATCTTCTATCTTTTGTTGGCGAGGTGCAGTGTCATAGGCTATGTTTACAAGTAAAATGATGGAGCCACATTCAGTTGTCATGACAGTCATTTCAATGACCCTCTCTGCCCCTTTTTAATTTCAGCCCCATGTAAACGTCAAAAATGAAGCGTGTTCCGTTGAATGGTGCGCAAAAGGAGGGGGGCACCAAGATTGGCCAGTGCTTAGGGCACCAGTGAGCCTTAATCCGCCCCGTTCCCCAGTGGCGCGAGGTGGTGCGCGTGCCTGTGAGTGCCATCACCATGGCCACCGAGAGCACTGGCGCCGTGCACCACCCACACAGGCTGCTCTAAGCAGCAACTGCAGCCTGGAGGGAGGGCGATGGTGCGCATGCAAGCCGGAGGGAAGAGAACCACCTACCGAAGGACAGTGGGCCCTGCCCTGAAGTCCTGAACCCTGGCAGTAACCACACTTGAGGGCATGCCGATGTTAGAAGGAGGGACGGCCTGAGTGGTTGAATGGAGAAGCTTGATGGCTAATTTGGGTTTCTGCATCGTCTGTGAAATGGCTGTGAGATATGGCCTGTGGCTGAATGATGCTTTAAATCGATGAGTGCTGAACAAGAAAAAAAAAAGGAATGTTCCGTGTTCACGGAGTCTCGCATTTTATGTTGGGGAGAGGGAAAGGAAAGCGTGGCGTTACTTTGCAAGTCAGGTCCCGCAAAGCGCCGTGAGTTTCAAAGTGGGTCCCATTTTTTGAGAACTGCTGAGTTGATGAGATTAATGAGTAACAACAATATAACTGGTGGTAATATTTCAACTAAGAATACTACATATGTAGTATTTACAAAAATCCAACAGGTAAATCCACAATTTTTATCAATAATCCAACAGAGATGTTTTCAACAATCCAACAGGTTAGTGTGCAATGAACCTAATAGTGATTCTGCATATGCAGTGTTTACAGGAATCCCACAGGTTAGTCCACTATTTTAGCAGGTAAGATTTCAACAATCCAACTGGTAAATCTGCAATCCTGTTAATCCAACGGGTAAGTCTACAAATGGACGACGAAGACTCCAGATAACAGAACTTCGTTCCCAATAGTCTCTCTCAGTAAAGGCTAAATGTAGACAAAATATTTCTTGTACAGCACAACAATCTACAAAAAGGACTAAAAATACACAATGGCCCCAGTCACACAGGCCAGATAACGCAGGGGGGAGGCGTGGCTCTTTGCGCCAGCGCAATTAGACCCACCAGAACGCAATCAGACATGACGGCGGCACACCGCGGTTTCGTCCGTCAGTGCGTGCACATCAAAGAGGACTACTGGGGGGGGGAAGCCACGCGCCGGCACGAAAACACGGAAAGATTCCGTCGGCAGCCCGTGGCAAACCATTTGCTAGTACATTTGTTGAGATACTTTTTAACTGCGCAGCTTCAGCAGCACGCCACGGGTTGGCCACGGGGGCACTACGCTTGCCAGATGTTGCGGTGTGATCGTGCCCTGAAAATCCGCCCAGCATTCATGGCTCTCCCGCGGCAAATTCGGCGTGTGAGTAGGGCCAGTGGTTACCTGATTAAGGAACTCTTTAAGGATTCAGACTCCACCCACACATGGCAGGGTTGCCAGGCTTCCAAGTGGCGGCTGGAGATCTCCCAGAATCACAACTGGTCTCCAGCCGACAGAGATCAATTCTCCGGGAGAAAATGACAGCTTTAGAAGTTGGTTTTTATGGCATCATCTTCCATGGAAGCACCTCCCCTCCCCAAACCCTCCCTTCCCCATGCTCCAGCCCCCCCAAAAAAAATCTCCAGGAATTTCCCAACCCGGAGCTGGCAACCCTACCGTGTGGTTATTTTGCTGGCGAACGGGATTGTTCACAGCCTTGCATTCTAAGTCGATCCAAAGGAGCGAGGTCTTTTCATTTCACTCGGGAATTGGATGCCTGATTCCCTCAAGCAGTTTTGTGGTCGTTACCTCTGTCCCACACAGCTTCCGCTGTTCCTAGCGTTAAAACAAAAATATTTTATTAGAGGGGAAAGTGGAAATTATGTCTTGAATTTGGTGATAAGAAGTTCTAAATCCTGCCTCTGGAAAACTTAAAAAAAAAAGATCCTTTCTTTCTCTCTCTCCCCTTTTCAACGTCTGCGCTTCCTCTGCTTCTTTACCTCACGCTGGCAAAACCTGGCGTCTCGACTGCAACCAGGAAGTAAATTTACCAAAGATTCAACAAAGATTGAGCCATCCAGCCCCTCGGGAGACATTTCTCCTGAACCGCACAGAATGGCATTTCTTGATCTGGGAGGGACTTCACAGGCTAATCACAGGTAAGCTGGGTTTGTCCTATGAATAACCTGAAAGCCAGCAGGGTGCAGTGGTCAATGTGTTGGACTGGGATCAGGAGGGGCCCTGGTTCTGGTCTCCGCTCTGCCATGGAAGGCTGCTGGGTGTCCCAGTTTGAGAGCCAGTTTTGGTGTAGTGGTTGAGTGTGTGGACTCTAATCTGGGAGAACCGGGTTTGATTCCCCACTCCTCCACTTGCACCTGCTGATGTGACCTTGGGTCAGTCACAAGCTCTGGCACAGCTGTTCCTGAAAGAGCCGTTTCTGTCAGAGCTCTCTCAGCCCCACCCACCTCACAGGGTGTCTGTTGTGGGGAGGGTAAGGGAAAGGAGTTTGTAAGCCTCTCTGAGACTCCCTTGGGTAGTGAAGGGCGGGGTATAAATCCAATCTCTTTTCTTCTTCTTCTTCTTCCCTGGGTCTGTCACTCTCTCATATCCTAACATACCTCACAGGGTTGTTGTGAGGGTAAAATGGAGGAGAGGAGACCAATGCAGTAAGCTTCTTTGGGTTCCCAAGGGGGAGAAAAGCAGGGCATGATGGTGGTCACACGCGCAAGATAACATGGGGGGGGGGCGAGGGTATTCCCTCTGGAGGAATTTGACCCACGGTTGCACAATCACACAGTCCTTTGAAGCTCCGGGGGTAGCCGCCACTGCGTGATCAGACGCAACCACGGGGGAGTCGGGGGGTGGGTGGGGGGGTTGCCGTTTGTTCCCAATGCGCTTAAACGGGGAATCGACGAATCACATCTCAGCACTGAGGGCTCCCTATGGAGTGTGCGATGATGCGCATACTGAGAAGGGGGGGAAAAACAATGGCACGGAGTCGGGATGGCCTGATCAGACCAACCCGACGCCATGAGAGCGCGCTGGAGCGATCAGACAGGGGAAAGTCTGTCGGTGGCCCATCGCAACCCGTTTGCTACCGGACTTTCCCTGGTGCCTTTTTACTCTGCTTCTGTGGTGGAGCAAAACGGGTTGTCGACGGGTGCGGGACGCTTCCAAGATGTTCGTGTCTGATTGCACTTTTTAAATCCGCCCGGCATTCATGCCTATGGCGCAGCTAACTGTGCATGTAATCGCGCCCTATAAGTATCTAAATAAATCACTCTGATGTTTGTTTATTTTTTAAAGTATCCATAGGTACACTTTTATTATTTTTCATATTATACACATACATACATACATACATACATACATACATACAACATATAAACAACCACTTACATACATAAGACATACAAAGAGATCAGTATATTTTCTTATTACTTTGATGTTTAGATAGCTCCTTTTGAATGCTGTGCCCGTAGCAGTGTTCCCTGAAACTGTCACTTTCCCCTGAACTTTGACACTAGGACATTGTTTGGATGTAATAATAATAATAATAATAATAATAATACCTTTCGATTTATTGATCGCTCATCCTGCAGAGCTGCTGGCTCTGAGCGATTTAGTTACTCAAGTTTTCACACGGGACTAACAATGATTCATAGGGTAAGGGAGGACAACATATAATTCTTTAAATCGCACACTTCTGCAGCCGACGGGGATTATGTTCAGCTGTAAGCTTCAGGCGTGTTCCGGACAGCATTCGCTTTCGGCTTGGCTGGATGACGTCAGTTCTTCCAGGACTGCTTTGAGTCATAGTGCCGCACTGCCACTGCCTGGCCGGATTGGCCCATCACAGGCTTCTTAATGCCGAAGAGGTCTTTTTTCCAGGCTTCCGAGCTTATGAGCTGGACCTTCCGTTCGCCGGCTAACACCTCCCCCACGGGGGTTTAGTGTGCCCACCCTCTCTAAGGAGTGGTACCCATTTTACCTACTTGCCGAAGCTTTCGAACCGCTGGGTGGACGGCGAGCTGGGGACAAGGCTGGTAGATCACACCAGCGCGGGCTAGAACTGACAGCAGCTCTGTTCAGCTCAGATGTTAACCAGAGGATAAATCTTCTGTGCCACCACTCCCCTCAGGGGAGCAACAAACCACAGTTTGACCCTTAAATTAAGAATCGTGGGAGCAGCCTCACCGCCTCTGTTTGTTTGCTAACCAAAAATATGACGTTTTTCCTTTGTCAGGTCGGAAAAGTCCTCCATCTCAGGAGACTGTGAACCAGGTAAGCCCAAGCAAGTGTTGCTGTCTTGTCAGAAACTGCAAGGATAGGCAAAGAGGACAGTCAGGGTTGCTCATGCTATTGTGCGATTAAATAATGGGCACGTTCACACATGCTAAATAATGCAGTTTCAGTCCACTTCAGCAACCATTTGCAAGTGGATTGTGCCATTCCACCCAGTAAAATCCAGTTGAAAAGCGCATTGAAAGTGGATTGAAAAGGCATTGTTTAGTGTGTAATGACTGAGGTTTGCTCAGAAAGAGGGTTTCTAGTCCTCAAGATCTCTGTTGAGAATGATAGAGAAAGCTGGATCTGAGAAGCACTGACTTTTGAAATATATTCTCTAAGCCAGTTTGGTGTAGTGGTTAAGTGCGCGGGCTCTAACCTGGGAGAACCGGGTTTGATTCCCCACTCCTCCACTTGCAGCTGCTGGATGACCTTGGGCAAGTCATAGTTCTGTCAGAGCTGTTCTCTCAAGGACAGTTCTGGAAAGAGCTCTCTCAGCCCCACCTACCTCACAGGGTGTCTGCTGTGCGGAGGGGAAGGGAAAGGAGTTTGTAAGCCGCTCTGAGACTCCAAGTGAAGGGCGGGGTATAAATTAAAAAAATTATATGTGCATATGTGTGTGTCTGTGTGTGTGCTCACCTGGAAGTCAGGGCAACCTCTGGTGACTGACCCCTACTGGGGGCCTGGAGGATATTCAGAGAGGTAGCTGAATAAAGCCTGCCCCCGCCTCCCGACTGCTGGTATTCCAAAGAGGTCTCCCATCCAAGGACTTGCCAGGGCTGACCCTGCTTAGCTTCTGAGATCTGACGAGATCGGGCTCGCCTGGGTTATCCATGTCAGGCTAACACATATTTTCGGCTGGCATCTTTAGCCCACACAGTCTCTAAGCTGGCTGGCTGGAGACAGGAAGAAGATTCAGCTTGCTGGGTTGTGTGTCAAGGAACTGGGAATGGTCCAGCCTGCACCTGAATAACAAACCGCTCAGGCTTAGGAGCCAGGATCGAATCGCTAACTTTATAGGGACAGATATGATCGCATTGGCTTCTCATACCCAATTTCTGCTGGCCTGGAAGCTGTGCCGCATCTTGCAATGGCAGTGCCATTGAGCTGCCGAGTTCAAGCCCGGAGTTCCTTCGGCTTATGAGCAGGACGAGACCTGATTCTGCTGTATAGTCTTCCATCTGAGAAACCTCCCTGCAGCCAGCGTCTTGCAATGTCACTCTTCCTGGCTATTGCCATGCCTTCCTCTGGGATAGAGGACTTTGATGCTGAGTCCTCAAAGAAAGTGATTTGTTGCCATGCTGAGCGATGCTGGCTTAGTCGGGTCTTTTTAAGGGATTAAGCGGATCCAAGAAGGAGAAGTCTGTTACTGGCTATTATGTATGTTACCGCAGTGGAACCTCCATGTTCAGAGTCAGTGCATCTCAGAATATCAGTTGCTGGGAGCAGAGAGGTCAAGCAAGGGATGTTGCCCTCATGCCCTACCTGTGGCCTTCCTCAGAAGCAGGGCTCTTTTTGTAGCAGAAACTCCTTTGCATATTAGGCGACACACCCCTAATGTAGCCAATCCTCCAAGAGCTTACAGAGCTCTTCTGACAGGGGCTACTGTAAACTCTTGGAGGATTGGCTACATTGGGGGGGGTGTCGCCTAATGTGCAAAGGAGTTCCTGCTACAAAAGGAGCTCCGCCCAGAAGTATCTCGTTGGCTGTTGTAGGATGCAGGAAAGCACAAAATCGTGATGATGTAAGCGCTTCCCTGTTCAGCCTCCCCTCCCGTCCTGCCCTGTTTCTCATTGATGTCCCCTCCCCTTCTTTGTAGGCACCTCAGGAGAGCTGGGAGGGGTAAAGCGCATCAAGATTGAGCCAGATGATGTGGACATCATTCAAATCACCGTTTCAGGTACAGTAAACAAAAAAACATCCAGTGGTGCCAGCGAGATTCAGATAGTGTTTGATAATGTCAATCTAGGAGCAGGTTGTGGCATGTGCGCAGCCTAGGATTGGGTCCATTATTGGCACGGTTACCTGGTAAACACCTTGCCCCAAGCTTCTTGGAAGGAGACATGTATGAGCCAACCATGTATCCCAAATTTATTGATGTCCATTCTACCTCCCCTCTTTCTCCCCAATGGAGACTCAAAGGGGCTTACGTCATTCTCCTTCTCCCTGTTTTATCCTCGCCACAACCCTACCAGACAGGTTATGTTGAGGGTGTGTTATTGGCCCAGGGTCACCAGCAAGCAAGCTTCCATGGTGGAGTGGAGATTCGAACCTGAGTCTCCTAGAGTCTAGTGTGACACTCTTAGGCTACGCACAAGGGTGTGTGTGTGTCACAATATGATAGGGTAACCACAATTGTGCCAAAATGACACTGAATAATGATTATTGTAATAAAATGTATTGTCTTTCTTTAAGGTAATCACAACACACAATACTTATTTTCAATACACAATACAAGCAGTGCTATTCAGCAGGGGTCATTTCGCAGAAAAAGAGGTGCAGGAGCTCATTAGAAGAACTCATTAGCATAACTTATTTACATATGCCACACCCCCTGACATCACCGGACGTGTGTCAGACGGCAACACCCACCGCTCAGGCTCCACTGGACTGTTTTGGTTTGCTAGCTATTTGGAGGGGGGGGGGAACGTGCAGATCTGTCCTCGCAGAGGAGGGAGAGCTTGTACCTGAATAAAACTTGGTCTTAAAGGTGCCCCTGGACTGTTTTGGACCAGGGGGGCGGGGGGGGGGCTCTGCAACTTACCTGGCTGTTTCTTGCTCTGACTGAGAGCTTCTGGGAGCAGGGGGTGGGGCTTGTTGCATGTGCCCACCCCCTGGGCTCTTTACTGACAGAGCTCCGCCCCTGTGCGCTCCTGCAGGAAATTACCCCTGCTATTCAGTAAGAGAATCACTCTATGATTATCATATCACATCAAAGAATCTATTTAAACAGGTAACCGAGAACTACATGCAAATCAAGGTATCACAACTCATTTGTGTAGCGATCAAGATCCAGAAATCAGTCCAAGAGATCACGGTCTTTAACCTTGGTGTATGCAGACCAGTGAAGATGAGAGGAAGACTCCGAATTATTCTCTACTTCATTTCTTGTAAACGTCTTCAAATCATGTAGATCAGTGTAGTTACAATAGGCGGCCTCACCGCAAATAGTATCATTCTTATGGTGTGCCTTTCTGCAGTTGTTACAATGACTTACGGTGCTCAGCCAACTATTACAATTCAAGGATTAGTTCCATAGGAAGTGAGAGATTGCCCTATTAATATAGTCATATTAATATATGAAGATGTCCTATATGGAATCAGTTTGCTCATCCGCCTAGTTTGGTACATTCTACTATGACCTGCAAAGGCTTTCTGGGTTTCAAGCAGAAAAGGTCTTTTTCAGACACCTTCTAACCTGAGATCCTTTACCTGAAGTCGACCTTTTGTATGCAGACAGGAGCTCTGCCACTGAGCTGAGATCTCATGCACGCTACAGAGCCCTTAGCTTACAGAGCCCTTAGAAGCTTTGGCATCCCAATTAGATTGCACCCGTCATCCACTTTCTGAATTTTCTGCTGCTTTGCTGCCATCTTTCCCAAACTGGAGACTTTTCTGCACCAGAGGACTTCTAGTGTTCTGGCCCCACTGCTGGACCTCCTGATGGCACCTGGTATTTTTGGCCACTGTGTGACAGAGTGTTGGACGGGATTGGCCATTGGCCTGATCCAACATTGGCTTCTCTTATGTTCTTATTTCTCCATCTTGCACCATGGAAGCTGGACATGCGTCCAGCAACCAACAACATCTAATTAGTTAGAGTAGGTAATCTATGTCTATCTCTTACCTTCCTGCTGTTTTAATGCATAAAAACAGCAAAAAACCACAGGGGAGGGTTGGGGTGCTGAATCTCCACGGTTGCTTCCATATGGAGCTTTTGCTCTGGTTTGGAATCAAAACTGGAGTGTTTCAGGATTGGGTTTTGTGGGGGTTTCGGCATCCCAATTATGTTTGCACCCCAGTCATCCACTTTCTGAGTTTTCTGCTGCTTTGCTGCCATCTTTCCCAAACTGGACTGGAGACTTTTCTGCACCAGGCGTTTTGTTCCAGTTCAGCTTCTTAATGGCATTGTTCCCTACCAGCAGCCTTACACGTAGTATTGTTTGCCTCATTTGCTTTCCGGTTTTGTTTTACTTTTAGCCTTCCCTGTATTTTTCAGACCACGTTAGTGGTGGTCTGAAAAAAAACTGCGGGAAAACTGCTGGTGGGGAGGAAGCCTGGGATAATACTGTGTGTAGGGGGGGGAACCTGATGCAGTTAAGAAGCTAAACTGGAACAGAAACTGGGAGTAGAAAACCCCCCCAGTTTGATACAGTCTTTCTGGAAAGATCACATTCAAAATTGCCTTTACATGCTGTGTTGTTGAGAAGGTTTGGATTTTGTCAGATCCAGGCCACATAGGCACCATTTTCTTTGCTTCCTCTCCCTGTGTCCTCCATTTCCCCCTGTTTAACTGGAAGACTTTTTTCAGGGTTCCCCCCCCCCATTGGCAGTTACTAGGTCAGTACAACACAATAACACCATAACCAGCTGTTACAGTAATGTCATAGTAATTTGTTGCTACAAGCTATGATGTCCTCTGAATTCATAGCTTTTACTAACAAAACACATCCATCTCTTTTTATTGTAGAGGTATAAGGGGAAAGGTGTCACCTTTATTTCTCCACAACAAAAAGAGTTAGAGACTGACTTTTTAAAAAAAATGATAGCTGGGAATTCAGAGGAACCCTTAAATCTCTGCAAAAAAAGGATGTTTTATTGCTCCCATATAAAACTGTAATTTCATCTGTAATAGAAGAAATGGAAGTACTAGAATCTTGGACTGAAGCAATTATATAATATAAATGCAGGGATAACTTCTGTGGAGATGCTCTGTTGCCACTGCAGATGCCTCTGCATTCTCAGTGGCAGCAAGAGCTACAGTGGAGAATTGTTGCCACACAGAAGAAGCCTGTGACTTCTAGCACTTCCGCTAATCACCCAGAGGTTATCATCATTGGATTCTCTCTTCTTAACAGACCGATCGCCTGGTTCTGACGAATTACATGATGCAGCGGCCAACCACGTGACCTCGGAAGATCCCAGCTACATGCGCGAAAGGCTGTCAGGTGATTGCCAATGAGGAGGTTCAGCAGGCTGAGCCTTGGAAAGCTGGCGCTCAGAGGGACCCCACTGCCAATGTTTCCTCTAAGCTGAGTTAGTGTGAGCTAGCTCACTTTTTTTTTTAGCCTCTGGCTCACACATGTTTGCCTTAGGAAGGATGGCGCCAGAGCAAACTAATTGATGCAGTATCCAAATCGCCCGCTCACAACTTTAATGCCAGTAACTCACAAAGCAGAATTTTTGTCCACAAGACTCCACGGCTTAGAGGGAGCATTGCCCACTGCATGTGTTCTATAGTTGTACTGTACTGTTTGTGCATACAACTGGGAATATGCAGTTGTTAACCAGGATTTGAGGCATCACTCACACACAATTTATAATCCACTTTCCAAAACCATTTGAAGGTTTTTCCCCCCTCCAGCTTTTAAGGAGCCTTGTTGGAGAAACTGTGAAGTGTACACTGTTGAATGACTGTCTTCATGGATACGAACAAAGTTGGAGTCCAGTGGCACCTTTCAAGACCAACAAAGCTTTATTCATGGTATGAGCTTTTCTGTGCAGGTACACTTCCTCAGTTTTGTGTGCACATGAAAGCTTATACTGTGAATAAAACTTTGTTGGCCTTAAAACATGCCCTAGGACTCAAACCTTGTTCTGCTACTTCAGGCCAACATGGCTACCCCACCTGAATCTATACAGGGCTCTTTTTGTAGCAGGAACTCCTTTGCATATTAGGCCACACACCCCTAATGTAGCCAATCCTCCAAAAGCTTACAGTAGCCCCTGTAAGAAGAGCTCTGTAAGCTCTTGGGGGATTGGCTACATTAGGGGTGTGTCGCCTGATATGCAAAGGAGTTCCTGCTACCGTAACCATTTGCTTTCTGTTTAGATACTGCATGTTTTGATGCATGTATGCCAGGGCCAGCATCAATGTGAGGTAGGGCAGCTGCCAGAGCCCAGAGCTTTTGGCAGGGCACACTGACGTTGACCCTCACTCACCCACTCCGTTGCTGGTGTTCCATCTCTTGTGCTCCCAGATACATCCACTGCCCAGTACCACAAGGGGAAAAGCACCAGGCAGCTCTGGCCATAGGCAGTAGAAGGGCTCATGAGTAGACAAGGAAGGACACACAGGTTAGTGGGTGGGACGGAAGTGGGCTGGTGGGTGGAAGGGAAGAAAGGTACGAGCGAGGGGCGTGGTGGTGGGCAGAACAGGAGAGGGGGTCCCTGGGAACACTTTGCCCGGGCCCCCCAGAACCTGATATATTTCAAGAACTTGGGGGGTATAGTGGGCATGTTGCCCTGCGGCCCCACGAGTCTGTTGTAACTCTGCATGCAAGAAGATCTGAGAGAGAGAAAGGGTTAAGAAAGGCTGAGCAGTAAATCAGCATGCAACATATTGCTCTTTGGCATCTGTTTTTGCATCTGTTAAAATGTTTTCATTATGTTAAATGGTAACCATATAAACCAGGGGTGGCCAAACTTGCTTAATGTAAGAGCCACATAGAATAAACGTCAGATTTCGCGAGCCTCAAGACATGAACAAATATGACAGGTTTTTACTGGGAAGTATGCAGATTTGCTTTTTATTAACATTAAACGAGACTGCCAAAAATAATAACAAAAGCGGTAGAAGCAGGTATTGATAGTGATATTTATTTGTCCAATGATATTTGTTTGCTAATGATATTTACCTTCCCCAGCTGCCCTGCCGGGAGCCGCAGCATATGTGTGAAAGAGCCGCATGCGGCTCCTGAGCCACAGTTTGGCCACCCCTGATATAAACTAAGGTTGTTATTCCTGATTCTGATAAATATCTTCATTATGTTGTATGCTTCAAAGCACAGTATGGTGGGCACAACTACAAAATGGCTGCCCCAGGAGGCAGAACCACACATACAGAGGAAGCCGAAATGTAGGGAAGAAGAGAGGCAATTAAAAAGAAATACACTGGGAAAGAGGACTGAGAAACAATTAAATTATTGGTTGTTTTATTGGATTTTATTGGATTTTATGTATGGGCTTATGCCCTTGTAAGCCGCCCTGAGCCCGTTCACGGGGAGGGCGGGGTAAAAAATACCAAATAAATAAAATAAAATAAATAAAAACCCTGCAGTGGCAGCTGCAACTGAAACAATCTTGTTTTAATCCGCTCAGCCAATTGTGTCTCCAGTGGCCAATCAGAAGCCCTGATGGCCCAGAGCCCTGCAGGGCCTACCCACTTTCTAAAAACACTTGGTTGGGCGCAATGGTGCCCATGGGCACCACATTGAGGACCCCTGACCTAGACAATTAGTATATCAGCATAATAATGCCTGTATCAGGATCCAATGTATAATGCAGTGTGCAAGCTTTCATATTACACAGAACCCTTTCTCTGCCATGGCAGTCAAAATATTCTTCCCAGCTAAACTTCTGTCTTTGCTCTGTGCTTTCAGATAAAGGGCCCAGTGGTGATTTGCAACATGATGAGAAATCAATGGAAGGCAAAGGTGCGTCGATCATAAAATTAGTCTAGCGTCCGAAAGGTTTGCTTTAGAGACTGAAACTGTGCACCGTTTTATCTCTGTAAGTCTTGCAAAGTGGGGGTTGCAGGGACTGTTTGGGTTTTTACTTTTGGGGGGAAAGTACACCAGTTTGGTGTGGTGGTTAAGTGAGCCGACTCTAATCTGGGAGAGCTGGGTTTGATTCCCCACTCCTCCACTCGCAGCTGCTGGATGACCTTGGGTAAGCCATAGTTCTGTCAGAGGTGTCCTTGAAAAAGAGCAGTTTCATTCAGAGCTCTCTCAGCTCCCCCTATCTCATAGGGTGTGTGTTGTGGGGAGGGGAAGGGAAAGGAGTTTGTAAGCCACTCTGAGACTCTGAGTGAAGGGTGGGGTATAAATCCAATCTCCTCTTCCTCCTCCAAGTGGAATTGAGTGGCAGCTGCTTCCTCACATACTGATTTCCTTTCAGTAAGGCCTTCAACCTTACTCAAAGGAACTGTAGAGAGGAGGACAACAACTCTCAATGGCTATTAGCCATGATGGCTAAATGGAACCTCCATCTTGAAAAGCAGCATACCTGGAGAAACCACATAGGAGCTCCACACCCACACCTCATGATTGCAGGTCTGTTGGAGGCTTCTAACTGACCAATGTGGGACATGGGATGCTGGAGTAGATAGACCTTTGGTTGGACCCATCAGGCTCTTCCTATGCTCAAAAAGTGAATGCACAGGTATAAATAATAGATTGGGGGGTATCATTCACATATCAAGACACTGCCAAATTCCAGATTGGTGCAGCCTTTGGTATTACCTTTTTTCTGCATAAACAGGAATAAACAGTTTTGTAGGACAATGAAAACTTAATAAGTTGTTGTTCTGGCAGTAGCTTTTGTGGACCCATTTATGCTGTGATAAAAACTTGTTAAACCTTTGAGGTGCCATTAGGACTCCTGTTTGGTCGTGTTGCATCGAACAAACATGACTCTGCCGTCTCTCCTTTCTCTGATGCGATTGTCTTTTTTTTTCTTTCTTGCTTTTGCGGTTGGTATTTCATCACTGGGTTTGTTGTCTGTCGTTTTCCAGATGGCATTAGTGATGTTTTAAGTCACTTGAGGAAGCAAGTCGAAACTTTGTTTAATACAAGATATGGTAAGTTATGCATCTTCTTTTATTAAAGCTTCTCAAAGCCACCCCATTTAGTTCAGCATCCTGTCTTGCAAGTGATCATGCCTATACCTCTGGGAAACTCACAACTGGGCCCTTCCCTGTAATTCTCCTCAGAGCAGCTGGCGTTCAAAGGTAGCTTGCCTCTGAGCATGGAGGCTCTATTCCCAACTATCTTGGCTAATCAAAATATAAGAAGAGCCCTGCTGCATCAGATCAGTGGTCCATTCTAGTCCAGCATCCTGTTCTGCACAGTGGCCCACTGGTTGCTTAACCGTATTCCTCCGACTGGATCCTTGTTTAATTTATCAGAGCCAGTGTTTTCCTTGTTAGTCCCTTGGGGTATGAGGAGGCGGAGGCAACCCTCTCCCTTCTGGGGTTGGCCCCTGCAGCCCCAGATCAGACTGTGATTCGAGTCTGATTCTGATAACTGGCTACAGCCAGGCCTTTCCTAAAGAGCCACAATCGTGGCTGGATAATTTGACAACGCAGTAAAGGGCTCAACGTCACCTAGTCCTCCAGCAGGGCCATGGGAGGAAGAGGAGTAGCTGGGGCTGCTTTAAGAAGCACGGATTGGAAGAGACGACATCCCTGCCACTTCAGGTGACTGTTAAGAACGTAAGAGAAGCCAATGGCGGATCAGGCCAATGGCCCGTCAAGACCAACACTCTGTGTCACACAGGGGCCAAAACTACCCGATGCCATCAGGAGGTCCAGCAGTGGAGCCAGGACACTAGAAGCCCTCCCACTGTTGCCCCCCCCCAAGCACCAAGAATACAGAGCGTCACTTGCCCCAGAGTCTATACCTTGTGGCTTAATAGCCACTGATGGATTTCTGTTCCATATCCTTATACTAATAGCGAAAGGCGCCCCCTGCGTGCGGATATCTAAATCCGCACATAGGGGGCACCTGGGGGGCAGGGAGATGCGGCTGGCGGGCGGGCAGGGAGGGGGGAATGGGGGGGTGGCTGAGGTGGCGGGGTGGGCGCGGAATCTGTTCCCATGGAGGAGGAGGAGAGGCGGCGATCGAAGCGGAGGGTTTCCACGCTGCCGCTGACCAGGCCGAGCCAGCGGTGGTGGGGGCGATGATGGTGAAGGGCGGAGGAGGTCCGCGCCGCGCTCGCCCGCTGGGTCTTCCTCCGCCGCAGGGAGGGGAGGAGGAGGAAGAGGACGACGCGCGTTTCTGTCGACCTGCTCTATCCCATGCATAATCTTATAAACTTTCATCGTATCACCCCTCAGCCATCGTTTCTCCAAGCTAAAGAGCCCCAAGCGTTTTAACCTTTCTTCATAGAAAGGTTTTAACCTGACTTCCATTGCTGAGGTTTCTTGGCAACTACATCCAGGTTAGGGACTGTATCTGCCAGGCTCACAGTTCCCGTGGAGACAATAGCCACAGTGGTATTGGAGTCTTCTGAGGGCTTCCCCACTCACCCCAGTAATCTCCCAGCAATGCCACGAAGAGGGGGAGGAAGAGTTGGGGCTTGTTGGAGCCCTTGCTTTCTTTTCCTGAGGTTTCCCTGTAATCCTTTCCTTTTGAACCCCTTGTCTTTTGGTTTTAAGCTCTGTAAACTAGTTTGGGATGCCGATGCAGGGATTAAAGCTCTAAATAACTATTCAATGAGGAATTGGTCTCCCAATCCTCTTCCCTAGTTACCTCTCTTTGCTCATGCATTGACTCCCCCCGTGACATATGGAATATTTTAACGCATTCACACCATTTACATATTTGTGTCCAGTAATGCTTTTTACAGAGACGCAGATCAGTGGCCGTCTCTGAGCTCCCACACCTCCATATGATTTATTTTATTTGACAGAAATTCTATCACACCTTTCTGCCTTCAAGGGGGCCACCAAGGCAAATTAAAACACACATAATAATAAAATCACATACTAAAACAATTAAACCCAACAAAAAAACCCCATCGAAACAATTAAAAACAGAGCTAAAATACAAACAAAGGCATAAAAATAGCAGTAAAAATGTTTTATGCTTGCAGCTAAAGCCATAGGAATTTCTGAGCCTGTCAAAGTCCCCTACTCCAAGTTTCTGATGTACCCGGAGGATCTCTTTGTCGTGGGCTTGCCAGATGGCATCTTGCTCAGGCGACCCAACTGTTTTGGTATCGCAAAGCTTAAAAAGATCCTTCAGGCGAGCGGCAGCATCCAGTTTGTCATCAAAAGGTAAGGGGGGGGAAGCTGCTGGCTTTGTTTCTTGCCAATACTGCCACCTTCCCTCTGCATCGGGAATCCCCACTCTTTTTGTGTCTATCAGCACCTTTGGAATTCTGAGAGGGTGGTGGTGAGCGCTGCTCCAAAATGGCTGCCACAGGAGGTGGAGCCAAATCCCAAATAACTCCTGAAGTAGGCGGAGCCAAATGTAATACCTCCTTCCTTGTTTTGCCAAAGGATTGCATGGCAACACGGCTGAACATGTGACACCTCTTTATTCAGTGTCCAGCCTTTGGTCTGTCAAGGCTGGTATTTGTAGTTTGGCTGGAGGCGTAGTCCAGCCACTGAGAGGACAGCAGGGACGGAGAAGGAATAGGTGGCCCTCTGCTCTTGGACACTGAATTTCCCCTCATGGAACAGCCCACGTCCCTGGAATCCGAGACTGGAACAAAGCTCCCTCTGCTTTGAGGAAGCTCGGGGCAACAGTCAGTCAGCCCTGAAGGGGAAATGGAACCACACAGTGACGTAGGAAAGCCCAGGACTTTCCAGTCTTCTTGATCTGCCCGTCTCTGTCTGCAACTGCTATTGTGGCCGTGGAAAACTCTTTCATTGGAACGAGGGCAACCAATAACAAGCTGTGCCTTACAGTGGCCCCGCCCACTTGTTGAAACCAAGTGTTTCAACAAGTGGGCGGGGCCACTGTAAGGCACAGCTAGTTATTGGTTGCCTTCATTCCAATGAAAGAATTTTCCATGGCCAGGGGTGGGTGCCAGGGGAAGTAAGGGCAGGAGCAATGGCACTCATGGGTGCCATGCTGGGAAATCTCGCTCTACATTATGCTAGAAAGCAAAAATTACATCTTCCTGCCTCAGCCACCAGGGGTGCTCATTGCCACCTCAGACACTCCAAGATACCCATGCGTGGGGGAGACATTTGAAGAAGGTGTGCTAGCAAGATTGCTCAGTGGACATCTTATCAAACTGTGTGGCCAGTTCCGAGGTTGGGGGAATCAACAAGCTGGAAACGCAGGGTATATCTGTTTTAAATAAATGAATGGGGACGGGGTTTTGTTTTTTTAAAAATTCCTCATAATGATTGCTTTTCAGACCAGAACTTCTTACGGACGTAGTGAAGGACGCAGCCTCTGACAGCCCGGCAGCAATAGGTATATATATGTCTTGATTCTAAGGGCTTCATGGAATGGACAAACCGTTTCAAATGAAAAAATGTGATTTTCTACCAAGTCTCTCTCTCCATGCCCTGGTTATCAGTATTTGAGACTGCAGACTTCCCAGGCAGGGACTTGACTATTTATGGCCCCAGTCACACGGGAGGATTTGCCCCACAAGAGGGATGGATCGGGGGCGCATCAAGCGGGCGCGATCACACCGCAACATCTGGGAAGCATCATACACCCATCCCCGATCTGGCCCTTCGGCCCAAAAACGCGCATTTAAAAGGTAGTAGCAACAGAGCACTACCTTCTGGATGATGCATGGCAATTCCAGGCATCTGGTCGGGGAAGCTCTGGTAGCCCATCGCACCCAGTGCTGTTCCCCATCCCACGCATGCACACAACCGCGCTACTGCCGGTTTGCTGCACAATGTGTGATCGGCTGCTGGAGCACGGAGCCGCGGGGGCACATCGGATCGCGCTCCCGCGGTTCTTTTTGCTCCAGCTTTCATTTGCCTCTCTTCGGCAGCGGATCATCCCGCTCGTGTGACCGGGACCTATGTCTGTAAAAGGTCAGGTTAGGCAACACTTTTTCTGGTTGTGGAAAAGTACAAAATGCATCCTCCTGCCCGTCTCCTGCCCCCCATTGTGGCTACCCTGTTTATTTACTCATGTGTTTTCTGGGCTGCCTTGTTTGAGTCCTGTTGGAGGTGGCTTGCAATTTAAATTCATGAGAAGATAACGAAGGGCACCAAAACCTGAAGAGGTACGTCAAACAGAATTGAGGGCCAACAATAAAAATTTAATGTATATAATATAAAAATACATGTATTTATTAGCAAAGAATTAAAAAAATATAAGAGCCCAATCACACCTCATGTAAAAATACCAAAATCTTTACAGCAATTCTTTTCTGGTCCATCTTGTATCCACATTGCATAATTGTATGATTGTACTGTGTTATGATATAAGCCAATTTGTTCCTCATTGGGTTTGACCTCTGAAGAAGACCTATACAGGCTGAAACGTGTCAGGTCAAGTCCATTGGCCCTTGTGTGTAAGATTTTGGTATTTTTACATGAGGTGTGATTGGGCCCCTATGTTTTTTAATTTTTTGCTAATAAATACATGTGTCTTTATATTATATACATTAATTTTTTATTGTTGGCCCTCAATTCTGTTTGACTTACCTCTTCAGGTTTTGGTTCCCAGGTTTCAGGGTTAAGTCCCCCCCCCTTTTTGTCCCTAAGATAAAGAAGGGCTGCACCAATTGGAGCGAAGAGACAAAGAGAAGCAATAGTGCAGTCGGAAGACATTTTTATTCCAAAATATTAATACCCCAAGGGTTATTAATATTTTTGGAATAGCTGTTCGAGAGAACAGCTGTGTGAGAACTGTGGCTTGCCCAGGGTCACCCAGCAGCTGCATGTGGAGGAGTGGGGAATCAAGCCTGCTTCTCCCAGATTAGAGTCCGCACACTTAACCACTACACCAAACTGGCATTAATACTATCCATAAAACAGGCACAGACCAGAAGCAGATAATTTAAAAAGCTGGAAAGACAAAACCCTCATTCAAAGCCTGGGTAAAAAGATATGTTTTGACCTGGTGCCTGAAAGATATTCAAGTAGGCATCTGGTGAGTCTAGGTTTGCCAGCTTCCCACTGGGGGCAGAAGTTCAACTGGCCTCACTGGTCCCTTCCCACCATTGCTCAGCTGGGTAGCAGGAGGAAAATGAAGCAGCAAATGGGGAGTGATGGTCTGCGTCCTGATGCACTGACGTCACTTCCTGTGCAATGGGAAGTGATGCCTGCATGGTGCCAGGGACGCTCTAGCATTTTGGTAAAACTCTATGGTTACCAGAGAGTTTTGCCCAAATGTTAGGTCGCTGGTAATGCACTGGCATCACTTCCGGTCACAGAGGAAGTGGTGTCAGCATGTTGCTGGCAGCATCAATAGGTGCCCAGCAAGGGCCCAGTTGCTTTGGCAATTCTTCCTAGGTGAGCCTCAAGGAGGAAGAGTGTTCCAAAGGCAAGGTGCCGCCACAGAAAATGCCCTCTGAAAGCAGGGGCATAGAGAGCAGGGCTTACCCTGCTCCTGAACATCTATTTGGTTATTTTATTTAGTAAATTTTTTATCTCATCCTTTCTCCAAAGAGCTTGGGGCAGTGTAAACCATTCTTCCCTTCTATGTTATAACCTCACAGGAACCTGAGGGACCGTCTCCTCAGATATATCCTTGGGAGAGCGTTACACTCCTCAGATAACAATCTGCTGGTGATCCCTAGCCCTAAAGACATCCATCGGCTGTCGTTGGCCAGGGCCAGGGCCTTTTCAGTTCTGGCCCCAACCTGGTGGAACTCTCTGCCAAATAACCATCAGGGCCCTGCGGCATCTTATGAAATTCCGTAGGGCCTGTAAGGCCGAGATGTTCCACCAGGCTTTTGGCTGAGGGCAGTGATGGTATACATCCTGGTTGGCACCCTCCCCCCAACCATTAGATATGTGCATGTGAAAGTGCTGGATTCTGACTTTAGTTTCATCTTGCACCTACCTGCAGGGGGATGCTTTTAACTCTAACAAACCATAAATGGAACTCATGTATCTAAGGGATGGGGGTCGGAACAGCCATTTGATCCTTTTTAAAAGAAGAAATCAGGATCAGCCTGTTTTGGGGGGAGTAGATAAAACAAACTAAAATAAATAAGAATCTTTCTCCCGCGCATTTCTTCTTCTTCCCTTGTCGGCAGCGAACGAGAGAGACTCCAGTGAGCGTCTTGTAGAAGAACCTATGAAAAGACCTGGATTTCATGGTGAGAATGGGAGGCCCATTGAATGTTCCATTTCATTCGGTTTCAGTATTGGCTTTGCATGTTTCTGTGGTTTCTCGAACACAACAGGGCCACCTACAGACAAGGTAGGGCTGTTCCTCATCCTTGGGGATTGCCCCAGGTATGCAAAAAAACAGGAGATCCAGCAAAAGACCCGGTGAGAACCGAGCATGCACTAGGAAGTGCGAAATGCTGAGTGTGGTTTAGAGTCAGGAAAAGTGGTGGTGGTGGGGAGACAGAATATAGTGGGGAAATTGGTCTGGTCAAGAGCCTATAGAACAGGGGTGGCCAAATTTGCTTAACGTAAGAGTCACAGAGAATAAACATCAAATGTTTGAGAGCCGCAAGACATGGACAGATATTACACCTTTTTACTGGGAAATATGCAAATTTGCTTTTTATTAACGTTAAATCAGACTGCCAAAATAATAACAAAAGCTGTAAAAGCAGATATTGATAATGATATTTATTTGTCCAATGATGTTTGTTTGCTAATGATATTTGGCTTCCCCAGCCGCCCTGCCGGGAGCCGCACAATAGGTGTGAAAGGGGCGCATGCGGCTCCTGAGCCACAGTTTGGCCACCCCTGCTCTAGAAGTTTGGAAAGGACAATGTGTGTATATGTGTGAAATTCTCCCTTGCTCCCCATGCATGATCCCCTGAAAGCCCCGGTTTGTTTTTATATTTATTTATTTATAGGTTCAATTTATACTCCGCCCTCCCCGCTACGCGGGCTCAGGGCGGCTTTTCCTAGCTGAAAATAAAATCAGATAAATAATAGAATACTATATTTTAGTTTGACTTTTTTTATTATTTGGTTTTTAAGAAAGGATTTTGATTCCCCTCCTAAACTGGCTTAACAACCAGGTACCATTCCTTTTCCTAATGCTTATTAGCCAAAGAAGCCATCCGCTGTCTTTAAGGGAAGTTTTTCTCGCTTATAAAAAATGGCCTCGGAGAGAAGCCTTGCTGTGTCGACGGTTCGCTTTTGTAACGTTAGCCGTTTAAAAGAAAACGTATCCTTTGGATCTCAGATGTTTCATCTAAATTCTTTATCCAAGGAATGACATATTCCTCTTCCAGTTTATTGTACAGCGGGCAGTATAACATTACATGAAATAATTTCTGCTGTAGGAAGGGCATTACAGCATGCCGATGTAAAGATTCTTCTACATTTATGCATTAGAAAATTAAAATGTTCAGAAAGAGTAAAAGAGTAAAAGAGTATGAAATAGACAGGTACTGTTTTTCCCTCCCTACTGGCCAAAGCATGTTGTTTAAAAACGGTGGAGTGTTTTTATATTTTTGGCAGATGTTAACACCAGGTGCTCTATGCTGATTTCTGTTTCTCTGTCTTTGCAGAAAACTACGACACTCGGCTTTCCCGGATCGATATCGCGAACACACTAAGGGAACAAGTGCAGGATCTGTTCAACAAGAAATACGGTGAGCAAGAAGGCAAGGGGTGAATCTGAGGGTATTGGATCCTGCTTTATCTTTATATAGCAGTTTGAAAGCAAGAAATTGCAAGTAGATAAATAGGTACCACTTCGGTGGGAAGGTAACAGCGTCCCGTGCGCCTTGGTGTTTAGTCATGCCGGCCACATGACCACGGAAATGTCTTCGGACAGCGCTGGTTCTTTGGCTTTGAAACGGAGATGAGCACCGCAACCCTAGAGTCAGATTCAACTGGCTTTCGAGCAAGGGAACCTTTACCTTTTTACCTTATTTTTATAACAACCCTGTGAGGTTAGACTGCGACATGAAAAACAGTTTTTATAAAGAGAGGGTGTTACATATATCCTACTTCTGTCCCATACAAGCTTTGCAGGTTTTTGAAACAGTAGACAAAACTGCAAAACCTAATGTGACTAGAAGCAAAAAAGCAATCTGGATCGATACCGTTTCAAACTGTTATAAAATATTTATTAAAAAGAAAATGTTTCCAAGCATCCTTTTAGCACAGCACTAAATTGAGCAAGGGATTCCAAAAGAAACGGGTAACATGGAAATTCTCCGTCCCTTCCTCTATACATGCCCTATCAGGTGTTAAATAGGACAGGCTCCTTTTTCTTAGGATGTTACAAATCCCTATAGATCCAGCTGAGCTCTGAGAAGCAGCAGGAGACAGAGCTGCTAGTGGGGTGAGTGTTTTTTATTTGCTTTCAGCTGAGGTGATTTAGCTGAGGGTACTGTGTGGGAGGACTGTGTTTGGGGGTGTGTGGGTGAGTTTTAAGTTGTTGCAGAGTCTTGGCTGCAGAGTCCTGGCTTGAGAAAGGGTGAGAAAGGGTGATTGTTTCACTGTAATTGGATTGCCTGGGTATAATTTGAATAGCTGCTGGCCCCGCCCTCTGCTGGTTCCATCCTCTGCTGGGTAAGGCTTCTATTTAAGGCTGCACCTCGCCAGAGGCATGAGCCTCTGGCACGAACCGAAGGGCGAGAGCCGAAGGGCTCTTGGCCTAGGGACTCTTAGACTAGGGGCTCTGTAAGAAGCCCAGGAAGGGCCAGAAAGCCAAGGCCCTAGTCTCCTTGTGTTCCCAGTAAGGTAAGTAGACTTCTACAAGGAGAACCACATAAATACAAAGGGTTTTAAAAGGGGGATTATACATAATTATTTTTTTTAAGCAATTATGAAGGCAGAATGTCAGCAGGGGGTTGGGGGCTATCCAGGCTTTTGCATGGAGTGTCACATGTATGACTATCTGCCCAGTGGACATAAGTCTTGGGTGTGTGTCCAGTGCAAGGAGCTTCTGGTTCTCAGGGAACGAGTTTGCACCCTTGAGGCCAAGGTGGCTGACCTGGAGAAGCAGAGACAGTCAGGCGCATGGAGAAGATTCTTGGGGACTTGTTAGATATGTCCCACTCTGAAACTGGCAGCCTCGTCACTGTCAGTGAGCATGAGGGTTGAGAGGAAACAGGGCACCTTACTGAGGATAAGGGGAATGTGCCCTCAGAAGGGATCTTTTCTTCAGCTGGTGAACAGATAGCCTTTCGCATCAAGGAACCATCCCTGGGCAGGGAGGGAGGTGTGGGCTGTTGGTGATTTGATCCTTAGACAGGTAGACAGCTGAGTGGTAAACCCGCATACTGACTGTATGGTGACTTGTCTGCCTGGTGCGAAGGTAGCAGACATTATGCATGTTCTAGATAGGCTGGTAGACAGTGCTGGGGAGGATCCAGTGGTCGTTGTACATGTTGGCACCAATGATGTGGGGAAATGCCTTTGTGAGGTCCTGGAGGAAAAATTTAGGCTGCTAGGCAGGAAACTCAAGGCCAGGACCTCCAAGGTAGCCTTCTCAGAAGTGCTACCTGTTCCATGCGCAGGGCTGGAGAGACAGGCACAAATCAGGAGTCTCAATGTGTGGATGAGACGATGGTGTAGGGAGGAAGGGTTCAAGTTTGTTAGGTACTGGGATGCTTTTTGGGACAAGAGGGAGCTGTACAAAAGGGACGGTCTCCCCTTGTCCCGAGAAGGAACCAGGCTGCTGGTGCTTAAAATCAAAAAGGTGGCAGAGCAGTTTTTAAACTGAATATTGGGGGAAAGCCGACAGGAGATGAAAAGTTTCTGGTTCGGGATGGCTCATCTCAAATAGATGAAGGGATAGCTGTTACTTTTCTACAAGGAAATGGATTAGAATTGTCCCCTGAGACTGTGGCTAACGATATGGACTGAAGTCCTATTCTCCCTTTCTAACAATACAAGTACTCGTGGGCACTCAATGCAATTGCTGAGCAGTCAGGTTAGAACAGATAAAAGGAAGTACTTCTTCACCCAAAGAGTGATTCACACATGGAATTCACTGCCAAAGGAGGTGGTGGCGGCTACAAGCAGGGATGGCTTCAAGAGGGAATTAGATAAACATATAGAGCAGAGGTCCATCAGTGGCTATTAGCCACAAGGTATAGATACAAACTCTCAGTCTGGGGCAAGGGATGCACTGTATTCTTGGTGCTTGGGGGGGGAGCATTTCTTCACACCAGGCATAGGGATTGTCAGCAGAGCTTTCTCAGGGACATAGGTTGGGTCGCTGGTGTTCCCTCTGGGTTGCTACAGAACAATAAGCTCAAGTATCAGGCATGGGTTTTTTTTGGTATTTTGTGTGTTTGTGTGTGTGTGTCGACCTCTGGTGACTGACCCCTATGGGGGGGGGGCTGGAGGATATTCAGAGAGATGGCTGAATAAAGCCTCCCCCGTCCTCCCAACAAGGTATTCCAAGGAAGTCTCGCTTCCAAGTACTTGGCAAGGTTGGCCCTGCTTAGCTTCCGAGATCTGACAAGGCTGGGCTTGCCTGGGCTATCCAGGTCAGGGCGAGTATCAGGCATATTTGATTAACTGGAAAAACTCATTCCCTGTGAATGCTGGATAACAACCCCCCCCCCAACACTGAGGAATGACCCTTCATGCTCAGAGACAGTCTACCACTGAATTCTAGGGGGTGGGGACCTGCAATAGAAGACAGTGTGTTGGTTCCTTCATGCACTCGGAAGCATCTCGATATCCGTTGTGGGGAAGAGGACGCCAGATGTGACGAATATCGATCTGATCCAGGGTCTCTTGCGTGTTTCTTTTTAATTCCTCCGCTCTCCTTCCTTGCAGGTGAGGCCTTGGGTATCAAGTACCCAGTCCAAGTGCCATACAAACGGATCAAAAGCAACCCGGGCTCGGTGATCATAGAAGGACTGCCCCCGGGCATCCCGTTCCGGAAACCCTGCACCTTCGGCTCCCAGAACCTGGAGAGGATATTAGCTGTAGCGGACAAAATCAAGTTCACGGTAACAAGGTATTTTGCCAGGTTGTGGATGTGGGAGGGCTGTGCCATTCTGTTCCATAATCTGTATTTTTAGACCTCCCGGCTGAAATGCATAGCATTTATTTTAGAGGGTTAGCGTGCCTTCTCGCCATGCCCGGAGGACCGTTGTGCAATTGGGGACACGTCACACGGTGAACATATGAAGCTACCTTATATCAAGTCAAATGGTTGGTTTGTCTGCCTCAGGAAAGTCTCGGCTGACTAGCAGGGGCTCACCAGGGTCTTGGGCAAGGAAGTGTCTTTCGTAACACCTTAACCAGAGTTGCCAGGGATTGAGTCCAGATGTTCTGCATACACCAAGCTGGTGCTTTGTCACTGTAGACCCACCCTTATAACCAGGGGTCATTTTGTAGAAAAAGAGCTAGGGGAACTCATTAGCATAACTCATTAGCATATGCCACACCCCCTGACATCAGGGGCCCGGTGGTGGACCTGCAAGGCTGGCGGGAGTGCTAGGAAGCCCCGCCAAGGCCTTCCCTGGCCCCAGGCAGGCAGGGGTGGGGAGAGGCGGGGAGGAAGCAACTTACCTTCCCTCTTCTCCTGCCTCCTCCTGGCTGAATGAGGGCTGGAAGCGGGGCGGCCGGAAGCAGGGGGCGGGGCATCATCGTGTGCCCCGCCCCCTGCACCTCACCCAGGGGAACTGCGTTCCCCCGCATTCCCCCCCGAAATGACCTCTGCTTATAACCAGTATAAAGGTAAAGGTATAGCTGCTGACTATTGGTTCATCTCACCAAGTATCGTCTGCTTTCATTGGCAACATCTGTCCAAGGCCTTGGGCAGGGAAAGGCTTTTCCCAACAACTGAGTCTTTTATTTATTTATTTGTTGGATTTCTATACCGCCCTCCCAAAGGTTCAGGGCGGTTCACAAGTGGCAAAGCCGGAATCTAAAACACAATAAAACATACAATAAAATACAATATTTAAACCACAAAAACCATCCTATAACACGGTGCTATATCATTCAACCAAGATGGGAATAACCATCCAGCTTTGGTGGCCAGCTATCTCAGTAGTGTCCCGCTATGCTGTCTATGACTTCTTAAGATCCTTTTAACCGCATCTGTAGGGTTGCCAGCTCTGGGTAGGGAAATGCCTGGAGATTCTGGGGGTGGAGTCTGAAGAGGGTGGGGTTTGGAGAGGGGAGGGGCCTCAGCCGAGTACGGTGCCATAGAGTCCACCTTCCAAAGCAGCCATTTTCTCCAGGTGAACTGATCTCTCGCCTGGAGATCAGTTGTAATCCTGGGACATCTGCAGCCCCCACCTGGAGATTGGCAACCCTACGCACCTGAGACGTCACGCACAAAGCAAACCCGTCGCTTTGCCTTACCATTCTAGTGCAGCTTATAGCCTGGCAGGTGACACATACCTGCAGCAATGTATGTATTTATTTGTATTACTTATAACCTGCCTTTCTCACACAATGGTTGATTGAAACCCGTCTGTGATTATCTTGGTTTCCTGATTGACATTGTGTTGTTCTGTTTTCCAGACCTTTCCAAGGCCTCATCCCTAAACCTGGTAAGTATGGAATCCTTTAAATAGCTCATGCGGGATATACTTTGTCATTCCTGAAATTTTAAGGCCTCAGTAATCCAGCTGTGCTTCCTATTTGGAGAGTCTAGCCTGCTTTCGGTTACCCAGATGAGAGCCATCTGCTTCTTGTCAGTGAGAGTGATCATACTTTTGAAATAAGTCGAGACAAAAAAGGACACTTGATTTCACGGAGGAGACTTTCACCCCACCCCAACCCCCAATCTGAGTCTCATACCTTTCAAATATATTTTTCAACCAAGCCCTTGCACATGACAATTGAATGTCGGTATGGATGTTCCTTGGGGAGAACTTGGCAGTGTTGGGGTCCATGATGAGTACATCCAGTTTGGTGTAGTGGTTAGGAGCACAGACTCTAATCTGGGAGAACCGGGTTTCATTCCCCACTCCTCCACATGCAGCTGCTGGTGTGACCTTGGGTCAGTCACAAGTTCTCTCAGAGCTGTTCTCTCAAGAGCAGTTCTCAAAAGAACTCTCTCAGCCCCAAATACCTCACAGGGTGTCTGTTGTGGGAAGGGGAAGGGAAAGGAGACTCTGAGACTGCTTCGAGCAGTGAAGGGCGGGGTATAAATCCAATCTCTTCTCCTCTTCTTCTTCATTTTACAGATGACTGGGAGTCAAGATTGACACCCATTCTGGTAATTTTTGTCTGGATGCCAAGAACCCTGTCCATCCTAGGTAGAAAGAAAATAGATTAAGTTTGTCCAGATTGGGGGGGCGACGGCAAATACATAGCGCATTCAAGCCAAAACGTCAGTCTGTTCTGCCTTTTGGATTCAAATCTGTGTTAGAAAACAGAGCATCTGAAGGCAGCAAAAAGCTACATCAAACTGAATTGGGGTGGGTCTGTAGTTCAAGGGGCGAACATCTGCTTTTGCAGTCAAAAGGTCCCAGGTTCAGCCCCCACAGTCACCAGTTAAAAGGGCCCAGCGACCCTTTGTGAATGACCTTGACTTGGGATCCTGCAGAGCTGCTGCCAGTCAAAGTGGACGATACTGACCTTGATGGACTTAAGAGTGTGACGCGAGAAAAGGCAGCTTCATGCGGTCTTGTTCAGGAGAGGGGCCGTGGCTTGGTGGCAGAGCACGTGCTTTTCGTGCAGGTGGTCCCAAGTTTAGTCCCCGGCATCTCCCGTTAAAAGGATTAGGTAGCAGGCGGTGTGAAAGACCTCAACCCGGCACCCTGGAGGGCCACTGCCAGTCAGAGTAGGCAAGAATGACTTTGGTTGGCCAATGGTCTGTCTCAGTATAAGGCAGCTTCATATGTTCATCTCAGTATGTCCCTGGAAGAGCATCACGCTCTCGTAATAAGAGCCTCCTGGGGGTCCCTGGCCCAAGAGAGGTCTGGCTGTTCCACCTGGTGGAACTCTCTGCTGGAGAACATCTGTGTGTCCTATGGGGTTTTCTGCCTTTCTGTAGGGCTTGTAAGGCAGAGATGTTCCGCCTGGCATTTGGCTGAGGACACCGACACGCTGGCACTCTCATACTTCCACCTCTCCCTTTTATTCCTGCCTATTCCCCTCGCCCAGGGGGTTGGTGGACACCACCGTCATCTTGGAGTTAGTGTTATTTTTCTGTTTTTTAAGTATTTTAGATGTTTTTTTAACTCAATTATATTGTATTTATTTCTGATGGAAACCACCCTGAGCCCTGCTCGCAGGGAATAAAGGTAAAGGGTAAAAGTGTCCCTCGCTCGAAAGCCAGTCGAATCCGACTCTAGGGTTGCGGCGCTCATCTCCATTTCCAAGCCGAAGAGCCAGCGCTATCCGAAGACATTTCCGTGGTCATGTGGCCGGCATGACTACACAAGGAGGCACATGGGACGCTGTTACCTTCCCACCGAAGCGGTACCTATTTATCTACTTGCAATTTCTTGCTTTCGAACTGCTAGGTTGGCAGGAGCTGGGACCAGAGACGGGAGCTCACTCCGTCATGCAGCACTCGGGTCTCAAACTGCCGAACTACCGGCCTTCCGGTCTGCAGTTCAGCATCTTAACCACTTGAGCCACCGCAACCGCTCACAGGGAATGGCGGCCAATAAATCAAATATAATAAATAAAATAAATAAAATTAAGAGGAAGGGCTCTGTCTCAGTGGTAGAGTTCAGTCCCCACCATCTCCAATATAAAGGATTTCAGAAGGTGTCGGAAAAGATCTTCCTCTGCAGGTCAAATCCGGCTAGATGATGCTGAGCTAGATGGACCCACAGCTCGACTCGATTAAAGATGTGCTCACCTGTAGGGCCTGTTTCCCCCCACCTGATCTCTGGACCGCTCTGCAGGCAGATGAAGCTTCCTCACTGTCTGTACAGCTGGCTCCATGACTGTATAAGAGAAGGGAGCAGCTGCTGTGTGCTGAGAAAATTCTGCCTCTGCATGGGAGGTTACTGGCTCCAGAGCCACTGGCTCACAATGGGGTATGCGCCAACTCATGCGCCAGTTCAGAAATGCAATATACGGCCTTGTGCCCCGTTGCACGCCAGCCGGCCAGCGCAAGCCCTTTCAAACTGGATTGCTAACAGCCATTGTGGGTTCTTCGTTTTTTGCCGAAATTTATTTCCTTTTTCTCTCTTCCCACCCCCACCCCGTTGATTTGCAACTGCAGCATCCTCCCAGGTATCGGAAGGTAATCTTTTGGTCTCAGCTCCCTCTTTCTTTCTCTATATTTCTTCCCCCCCTCCCAAACCGTGTGTGTTGTGATAAATTCTCCTGTTTCCCAGAGCTGTTTGTTGTTCTGTATTGCTCAGAATAATCACCAGCTATGGATAGCTTCCAGTTAGGTGTATTATGACTATCCTGGCAGCGTCCAGTTGATCGATTAGATTAGACAAGTGTGCCTTGATTTAAAAGGTTCCCCCCTTCTTTCTGAGACAGGAAAGCATCCTTTCTCTTTTATCACCAAAGAGAGTTTGAGACGGTTTCTGCTGCGTGTCATCAGAAAGCGTAGAGTAGGATTTTAAATCGAAGATTGCTCCAGAGGTTTTTTGATTCTGCGGCTGGCTTACTGTGCTTCTTAGTTATTCGCCTGTTTTCATTATCAGCCCCATAACATTCCGGATTATTTTGACATTTGTTTTGAATGGCATTGTTGGCCATTTTGTGGATTGATAGATCGAAAGCATTAGAAAGGAATACATGAAAATGGTGTGTGGTTTTGTCCTCTGGCGTTATAGCAAAGCCGGTGCTCATCCTTTCAAGAATTTAAAAGTGTCACTTAAACACGATTTTTTAAAGAAGTCTGCAAGATGGTGTGAGCACAGGGCCTGGGGAGAGGTGTACTGCTTGTCAGAGCCACTAGACAATATGACCCCTTTTCATTCATGCGCTTGTGTTCCACGTAGCCTTTAAATATAGCAGCTGACCTGCTCTTTCACAGGGCATGACTGGGGGAATCTTATTTTTTTTTCTGGGAGAAAATTATATTGCTTGAGTGGCTTACAAAATGATTTTTCCCTAGGTCAGCAGAAAAGAAATATCAAGGTGTTGGAGGAAAAAAACTTTTTATTGTTATTCTTTCTTGGTCCCATATGTTAATTATGATTTATTTGGTTGACTTTCTAGGAGGAGACCACTATGGAATTCTGTAAAATAATACCTAATTCTCAAAAAAAAATTCAGTTTGTAGGTTCCCACATTGTGCTTTTTAACTCTAACTTTTAGCAGAATTATTCCATTTGGATTATAATGGCTATACATTTTTAATGAATTATTTTATTCTATGAGTATATTTTCCTTGCTTATAAGAGATCCCCTGAGGAAGGTATGGGCGAAATGCGTTGGGATCAAGAAAGGATAACAATAAAAAGTGTGGGGGGTTTTCAACACCTTAATTTTTCTTTGCTGCTGTTACCGCTGGTGTGGCCTTGGCTTCTTCTTCACCTGTTGGTTTCCCTATGTCAGAAATTCGGCCTAGTGGGAGGCCGTCTTAAGCTTGTGAAATTTTTAAAAAGGGTCAACAGGAAATTTGTTTGCCAGGTGGAAGCAGAATATGCAAACAAAGGAAGCAACACGTGCTGCAGTCCTTCATCTGCAAAATTTTTGGAGAATTCCGTTTGTCTCTTACCAAAAAACAAAACAAAACACAGAGAATTCTTATTAAAGATTCTAAAGCAACATTGTACATGAGGCGGCTGCAGTCACTTGCTTTGCTTGAAAGAGAAGGCAGACTTAAGTGGGCCTAGAAATGTGGGGGTGAGGGAGGCAAAATCACCTCAAAGGCACCAAAATACAGAAGTGTATTTATAAAGAAACACAGAAGCAGATAACATGAAGATAACTTCAAAGATTCTGTGAGAAAAAAGCACCCGGATCCTGAGTGGCAACTGTCGCAGAGCAGCGTAGCAAAAGATGAGCAAAACCCAAATATCTCTGCTGCTTCTAGAAGAAGCTCGATATTTTGTGCAGGTGAAATCAGGGAGAAGGCATCAACGCAACGCAATCAAGATTCTTTATTTTTAATGTTACAGTGGGCTATCGGTTCTACTTTTGGTGTTTTTACTGTGCTTCTTTTCTTTTCCCTTTGGCCCTTGGCACCTTTGGGAGGGAAATGGCTCGAAATCCCATAAATACATGACGTGAAAGGGCAGCGATCAGTTCTGCCTTAGCGGGCTGTGGCACAACCCTATGGTAGAGTTCATTGTCATCTGCATGTTAGCGTTGCTCAATACTTAAGACCTGCAGGTGAAGCAGACTGTTTGCCGAGAGCTGGAGGAGGCAGGAACCGGGAATGGGGAGTCCACTCATCCCACAGTTGTCTCTGATCAACAGCTTTTGTGAAGGCTTTTGGCGACACCTGAATTGAACGTATTTATTTATTTATTTTATTTTATTCAATTTATACCCGCCCTCCCCGCAATGCGGGCTCAGGGCGGCTTACATAGGGGCAAACGCCAATATAAAACATAATTAAAACCATTTAAAATCCAACAGTACAAAACATTCATAACGAGTTACTGACTAAAGTGCTCTAGGTGTTCTACATGAAATTTCAGAGATGGCATATTTGAACTGTTCAGCATCGTCTGCTCCAGGGAAGCATTGATGTTCCCTCATCCAGGGCCAGGTGAAGATGGAATAATGATGATGGTAGTGGCGGCTCCTACTCATACGCCTGGTGGAAGAGCTCCGTCTCCATATGAAGCTACCTTCCTCCTAGTCAGACCCATCCTTCAGTCGCTGCCCTCTTGGGTTTCAGGAAGAGGGATATTCCCTGGCTGAGATTGTTTTAACCAATCTTGGAGCTATGGTGACCCTTTCTAACATACAAAGCTGCCTCGTAGGGATCACGTGTACCTAGGGTTGCCAGGTCCCTCCCGGCAGCCGGCAGGGGGTAGGGAGTGGCCTTACCAGGATCAGGGAGCGTCATCTGGGATTTCAGTGACATCCCCGCGTGACTTCCAACATGACCCGGAAGTGACATAGGCACATCGGGGATGTTGGGGTGATGCTCTGGTTTGGGGGCAGAAACTCTATGTTAGAATTAGCTTCTACCATAGAGTTTTTGCCCAAAAACCAGAGTGTCACTCCAATGTCCTCGACGTGCCTAGTTTGCTTCCAGGTCATGTTGGAATCATGTAGGAATGTTGCTAAGACATTGGGTGTTCCTCCCCCCCCTTTTTTTTTTGCGATAAGTCCCCCCCCCGCCAGCTGATCAGTGCCAGAGAGGGGAGGCCTGGGAGTGTGGGACTCCCACACCGACCAGGGGGTCTGGCATAGGGTTGCCAAGTGTATCTTCGCCAGGAGCGGGGGGCTCCCGGCTGGTGTCTTGTGCATGTGTGTACACACGTCACCCGGAAATGACGGGAGGACGCCAGGCACGCTGGGGGCAGGGCCACGGCCATACAAGGGGAAACCATAGAGTGCTTTTGGGTGACGCGCACGTCGGGGTGGAGTTCCCCCCAGGGCCCGATCCGGCAGTGCCGGGGAACGGGCCTCTGGGGCTTCCCCACCTCCCGGGGGGACTTGGGATCCCTAGTCTGGCATCACTACTTACACCCCATACGAACCTACCCAAATGTCAAGCATTGGTTCCATTTCACTATGTCTCACTTTACTGCTTGCCATAGATATGGGGGGAGGGAATTCCTGAGGGGAGTGCATGGCTGTTTAAAGTGGACGCTCGTGGAAGTCGTAACTTTTCCGTCAGGTTGTGCCCAGAAGCTGGTTCCCAAGGGAGCTGGCCTTGGAGTCTCTTCTGCCAGGCTTGGATGTAGATAAGGTGCCATATATATCTGTCAGGGTTGCCATAGTGACTGTAGGGGCCGAATGGTGACGTATGTTTTGTGGGGTATGTTTTGTATTAACTATCATAGGGGCTTTTTGCGCGCCTTTTTTCAGTTCTGACACAGAGCTTGTTTCCTGAAGTAAGCATATCTCAATAAACGATCACTGCCAAAGTGTGTTGTGGAGAGTGTCTCAACTGGGAGACCTGACACCAATCACTGCGGTCATCTTTGGAGGCCTGCTTCAGGCGCTCCTACCATCGAAGGCTAGATGGGTGGCAACCTGAGGATAGCGGCACTGAAACTGGAATTCTCTCCTCGGGGAGATTAATATGTCCCTGTCTATCCTTCCCTTCCGCCAGAGGGTAAAGACTAATGTTCCCTGTAAGCTGAGTCAGTGTGAGCTAGCTCACAGTTTTTTAGCCTCGAGCTCAGACATTTTTGTCTTCGCTCAGGAAGGATGGCTCCAGAGCAAACTAATTGATGCAGCGGCCAAATCGCCCGCTCACAGCTTTCATGCCAGTAGCTCACAAAGTAGAATTTTTGCTCACAAGACTCCACAGCTTAGAGGGAGCATTGGTTTGGTTTTGTCTCTTATTCCCTAACTGATTCTCATCGATACGTCTTCCTTTTCAGGTGTTTTTATGTTTTATTTTAATTGCTTTTAATTTGTGTGTGTGTTTAAGTTTAAGCTTGTTTTAATTACTTTATTGCTTGCTGCCTAGAAGTTGGAGGGGAAAGCAGCTTAAACATGTTTTAAATAAAATAAGAGTAAAACACCCCATCACGCTAGGGGTCTCTCTAGCTCGGTGTTGTCTGCTCTGACTGACGGTGTCTCAGGCAAAGAAAGGTCCTTCCCAGCACCGGCACCTGAGATCCTTCAACCGGAGATGCTGTGGGTTAAACCTTTGGGACTTTCTGCACACAGAGCTGATGGTCTGCCACCACTGGGTTTTGTAAAAACATGATGTCACTGGTAATGCATCGATGTCACTTCCACTGTGACCGGGAGTGACATCATTACGCTCAGTATGGTCGCTTCTGATTGGCTACGGCATCCGGGTTTCAGGCAGCTGTCTTTCCTTGCTCACTTCTCTGAGAGTCATGTAACTGAAGATGCAAGGGATTGAACCTGGGTCGGCTGTTCCACCCACAAACGTCTCCGAGCAGAGGCTGCCGTGGGGCCGGTGCATGTTCATCGATGTCCCTGCTGTACCACTTTTGAGGTCACTTCAAAAGTATTTTAGGATCCCGGAATGCAGAGGGGGACCTGTTCTTCAGAACATTGCACCCGGGTTTCTACTGCGTCCGTCTTGTGCAGTGAACTAAACCTCACTCACCATTGTCTCCCTCTCTCTCTCTCTCTCCCCCTCTCCCTCTTTCTTTCTCTTAATGTGTGCCGTAGCCCCTAGACGGATATCCACCTTGGAAAAAGCTTATGCTGCTTTGCACGGTACGTTGCTCAGTTGCTGCGTTGTAGATGGTAGCAGACAAGGAACGTGTTTCTAAAAAGCGACATGGTATCTCCAAAAGAAGAAGGGGGGGGGACACAAAGAAGGGTATAAATTTTAGGGTGGGTGGGGAGAATAACTTCTCATTCGAGCAGTACCTGGTGACGCTGTGGTCTGGGAGATCCCTGGCTCAAAGCTGTGGTGCTGTAATAAGTATTAAAAGGTTATGATGTTGTGAATAGAGTGTCGGGCTAGGACCCGAGAGACCCAAGTCCAAAGTTCTTCTCTGCCACTCAAGCTCACTGGACGGCATTGGGCCAGTCACTCTTTCTCAGCCTGACCTACCCTGCAGGGTTGTCGCGAGGATTAAAACAGAGAGGAGGAGAATGGCGTACACCTCCCTGAACTCCTTGGAGAAAAGGCAGAATAAAAAGGTGGAATAAATAAACCCTTCCCTTTCTGAGACGTAGCTGATGTGGCTATTCTGTACCATGTTTTTGTAACTTCAGGGCTGGACTACTGTGACAAACGTGGGGCTGCCCTTGAAGATGCCCACCAGGCATGTCCAGTTAGTTCAGAACGTGGCAGCCTGATTATTATCAGGGACTAGCCTACAGGTACACGTCACACCTGCGTTAAACAGCTATGCTGGCTGGTTTATTTCCCAGCGCAATTAAAAGTGTCTTTTGTGAATGAGTCAGCGTACCTGTAGGCTCATGTCTCCTCATATGTCACCAGTTATGGTCCTCTAGTTTCCCCACGAAAGGAATATGGCATGTTATAGCCCAATCTTATCAGATCTCAGAAGCTAAGCAGTGTCGGTACTTGGATGAGGGACCACCAGTAAGATTCTGCAGAGGGAGGCAACGGCAAACCAAACCTCTGCCTTGGAAGCCCCTTGCTGGGGTTGCCATAAGTTGGTTACAAGTTGATGGCACTTATATACATATGCCCTTTCAGCACTCTCCTTTTAATCCATGTCCACCGCAGTCTCTTCGAAGCAGTTCTGCACTAAAATCTAATTCAACCTTCTTTTTAATCCAGGGTTCCCCCCCCCTCCCCATTCTGCACTAAAATCAAGTTCAGCCTTCTTTTTATTTCGGGTTTTTCCCCCCATTCTGCATTACATTCCCTCCCTTCAGTGGTCAGCCCAGTTTCAGCCTGCTGTTGCCCCAGGTTTATTTGGATGCTGTTTTGCTGTGGACTTAAATCGCCTTGACTCGAACACTGAAAAAAATCCAGCTGGAACACTTTAAAAAATCCGGCATGGCAGGCAAATGCGGAAAGGACCATAGTTCCCCCACTTCTCCTTGTTCCCACACTTAAGGTGGACTGCTTAGTGTCTACTAGAACCCCTTCCATCTCGGTGGTGACTCCCACCTTGCGCAAGGGGCTCCTTAAAGAAGTAATAGGTGGAAGTGCTATCTTTAGAAGCTTTTAGGATGCGTTATAAGGCCGTTCTATTTGCTGTGGCTTTTAATCGGGATTTGGGTAGCAGGCATTTCTTTGGGGGGGGGGTCTTAATTGGGTTTTTTAATTGCATTATATATGGTTTTAATGTGGAATTGTAAGCCACCTTGAGTTACAAGGGAAAGGTAGGGTGTAAACGTCATAAATCGAACTCCCAGCATTCTGGGATTGGCATGATCTTGGGGACAGAGGGTACAAAACTTCTGCACACTCTTAAGTCTGTGTCACAAGGATGATGCACCTGTTAATTGCTATTTGGCATGATAGCTAAATAGAACCTCTGTAGCTAGAGGCAGTATACCTTTGAATAAGAGTTGCCTGAGGGCAAACAAAGGTGGAATGTTATTGACTAAGCTGGGGGGGGGAGGGGGCTGGAAATCTCCCACTTTTAGAATTGAACTCCAGACTACAAAGATCAGTTCACTTGGAGGAAATGGCTGCTTTGGAGGGTGGACTCTATGTCCTTGTACCCTGCTGAGGTCCCTCCCCTGTGCCTCACCATCTCCAGGCTCCACCCCCAAATCTCCAGGTATTTCCCAACCCAGACCTGGCAACCCTAGCTTCATACCCTGCTGCCAGGCCTCCTGGTAGGGAACAGGATGCTGAAACAGATCAGACTTTGCAGGCAAAAGTTGGGCTGCTTGTCTGTGGTTTCTGTGGCACGGCCCCCTACAGTGTGCCCAAGGAAGTTCAGTGGCTCAGTGGCTGATGACATGCTTTACAGGCAGAACAGTCTTGGTTCAGACCCAAATGATTCCCTTTAAAAGGATCTCAGGTAGCAGGACTAGGAGGCCTGGGAATGCTGCTTAATAGTTACTGATTTGGACCAGAAAGTTGCAGGTTCCTCACTTGGCCACAAAGCTCACCAAATGATACTGGAACTTTCTTTCTTTCTTTCTTTCTTTCTTTCTTTCTTTCTTTCTTTCTTTCTTTCTTTCTTTCTTTCTTTCTTTCTTTCTTTCTTTCTTTCTTTCTTTCTTTCCCACCTTACCCCTGTGTACACACGACTAAGGGCAGTGAAGAACACAATGACAAAAAACATTCATATATAATAGAACAATATAAATAATATATAAATAAAAACGTTATCAGATGACATTTAACATATCAGATTCTAATGATATCCCCGCCCTGCAAGAAGATGGAAAAGAGGCAGGAAGGAAAAGAAGAGAGAGGAAGAAGAGGAGATTGGATTTATACCCGCCCTTCACTCGGAGTCTCAGAGTGGCTTACAATCTCCTTCCCTTCCTCTCCCCACCACAGACACCCTGTGAGGTAGGTGGGGCTGAGAGAGCTCTGAGAGAACTGCTCTTGAGAGAACAGTTCCGAGAGAACTGTGACTGGCCCAAGGTCACCCAGCTGGCTGCATGTGGAGGAGTGGGGAATCAAACCCAGTTCTCCAGATTAGAGTCCACTGCTCTTAACCACTACACCAAACGGGGGGGAGGGGGGGTCAGTAAGGTGGTACCCATCACTGTCCTCATCCAAAAGCCCGGCAATTTTCTAAGCCTAACCTACCTTGCAGGAGTGTTATGAGGCGGAAAATGGAAGGGGAAGGACCATGAGTGCTGCTACTGTTGGACTTAGAATGGGGAGACTTGAATTTCTCTGCGTCTTCTTCCCAGGGTTCGTATGAGGATGGAATGGGATAGCCCCCCTCCCCAGTAATACTGCCCTGATTTCGTTGGAGGAGGGATACAAGTGTGAGAAAACAGCATCTTAATATTTTAAGAGCATTTTACACAGCTTACAATCACAGCCCTTTTGAAACACACGTGTATCGTCACAACTCCAATGCAACGAAACAGCAGAAAACCAGCAAAGCTCATTATGCATTGATTTGTGGCATTTTGCAAACCAAAAGACCCCAAACCTGTATGGTACCCTGTGCTTCAACGTGTCCCTTTGCTACCAATATGTTCCTGGGCCAAAGTGAAAGTGAACATTTTTTTAATTTTGGTATCTGAAGTGCGCTGGCACACGAAAGCTTATACCTGGAATTAAACTTGACTGGTCTTAAAGGCGCCACTGGGACTCAGACTTTGTTCCACTGCTTCAGACCGACACGGCCACCCACCTGAATCTATTTTTTATTTTTAAAACCCAGAATACTCTAGGGAGCATCTTCTGCAGAGCAGAACAATTCACTTTCAAGGCCCGCTGAGGGTGCTGTCAGGTGGCTCAAGTGGTTAAGACGCTGAACTGCAGGCCATGGAAGGTCGGTAGTTCAGCAGTTCGAGACCCGGGTACCGTATGATGGAGTGAGCTCCCATCTCTAGTTCCAACTCCTGCCAACCTAGCAGTTCGAAAGCAAGAAATTGCAAGCAGATAAATAGGTACCACTTCGGTGGGAAGGTAACAGCGTTCCGTGCGCCAAGGCGTGTTTCGTCATGCCGGCCACATGACCACGGAAACGTCTTCGGACAGCGCTGGCTCTTCGGCTTTGAAGCGGAGATGAGCACCGCAACCCTAGAGTCGGATTCGACTGGCTTTCGAGCAAGGGAACCTTTACCTTTACTTACATCCCTTTGCCCCGTTTTAAAGGCAAGCTTTTTAGGGCTGGGTTTCTTTTTACAATATTTATTTTTATAAAAGAAAAGGCAAGTTTAAGAAGAAAAGAAAAATCCAGGGCTTTCTCTTGCAGAGCCCATAGAGTGGTATAGATCACGGTTTCATTCTGCTCCCAGTTTCTGCCTGCTGGAGGGGGCTTTCTGATTTTAGGAGACAAGACAAGTGTGGACAATCAGGACCTAATCAGAGAACAGACGTAAAGAAAACAGTCGTGAGAGTCTGACCCACAGATCAAGCAGTCGACAAGACTTGCAAAGAAGATGCTTTCTGTATATTACGGTCAACAAGCTCTACAACACAATAGACAAATCCCTTTAAATCATAAGAAAATCCTAGTGTGAAAATACATCATCAACGTTGTCCCAGGCACCTGGGATCCATGAGAAGCTCAGCAGCATATTTGAGCCTGAATACTTACTGAGATCAGCGTCCTATCTAAATGTATTATTTTTCCTGATTTTTTGTAAAGCCCTTTATGAGCACGAGAACTTTTGTACTACTCTAACTTCTTAAGTTAACTCTAAACAGCTCTGACAGCATTGGTGCTGCATGGGTGTGGGTGAGCTAGGTGGGCTGGGAGTGGCTGCTGAAGACTTGTTTACTGCTTTAGAGCTACCAGGTGTAGGCTGTGACTCCTGATCAGCCGGTAACCTAAGCTCTCCTTCTGGCTCAGAGCCAGCTGCAGCAGCTGTTCATCAATTACTGGCTCAGGGCCAGCAGGTAGCTCTTCGTCTGAGAAATCTGAGCCATCACTCAGCACAGACTAATTTACAACATTCTGTGTTGTTGTGCAGACCTCTGAAAGTTCAAATCATAAGAAAATCCTAGTGTGAAAATACATCATCAACGTTGTCCCAGGCACCTGGGATCCATGAGAAGCTCAGCAGCATATTTGAGCCTGAATACTTACTGAGATCAGCGTCCTATCTAAATGTATTATCTTTCCTGATTTTTTGTAAAG